AAGCAACTTGGAAAACAGCCTCACTGAGGTGACCTTGCTAGCACAGGGTAACTGAGACAAGCAGCCCGGGGCCAAGGAGCTAGGCTCTGGGTCACTAAAACACCCCCAGCTGTGGAAGCTCCGGGTTGACCCCGAGACACTCTTGGGTGCCCCAGAGCAGGCTCCAGCCAAAGATCCAAGACTGCTGTAGTATCCCTCAGCCACTGACTGACGGAAAGCCTGACTTCAAGCTCCCCAGTCCTCTGTGACACTGACTTCCTCCAGCCAGAGAAATAACCTGCATTTCACAAATCAGGACTCCCTTGGCCTTTCTTGGTTAGAAAAGGGTTTCTTCCATCACTTTCCATCATAGTTGAGCACAGTGGCACACACCCAAAACCCAGACACTCACAAAGTCAAGGCAGGAAGATTTTAAGTTCAAGGTCAGCCTAGTTAATTTGGGTGAGACCCAGTCTCAAAGAAGAAAACCTTTTAAAGGGCTCAGGTTATAACTCAGTGAATAAGCACTCACCTAGCTTGCCTGAATCCCAAGTACAGTCAAAGCAAACAAATAATAATAAAAAAAAGGTCTGAACATTGATCTAATCTGGTCTGAAGCCCACTGATCCAATTCCTGAGTACCTTCCAGGACACTGTTCTAAGGGACATACCTGGGCTCCTTGGTCAGCTCACCCCAAAAGCAAGACCAAGGACCCAGTCTATTGTGAACCCCATGGCTCCATTCTACCTCTGCCTAAGTAGAAGCCTCCAAGGGACACAGCCCCAGCTAGAGCTGGCACATAGGTCACCTTCCCACTTGTCACTAGAACCAGTGATAGGTTCCCAATTACCACTGCAGCTCCAATGAACAGGCACTGATGGTGTCCCTGCTTGAGATACTGAAAGCCAAAGGAGCTGAGCCGATAGTTGGGCAGGGCAAAGTGCAAAGCCCAAACACAGCAAAGTGGCACCTATTTTCTGCAAGTCGCCACTACATCCCATAACCAGTCTCCACAGGATGAATTCAAAGTGGGAACATCAAGTTCCAAAAGCCAAGAGTGCATCCATAATTAAGGTTGTCCATAACCAAGAAAGGATGCATGTGGCTCTTCTCACAAGGGGCCTTATCTGGCATAGGAAGAAAGTGATGGCTCAACCTCTGGTTTCCCAGGGATGCTATGTCACACTGGAAGTGAGAAACTCAGGTCTGGAGCTCAGGAGAGCTATTTGGAAAGGAGGTGAAGATCTACTTCCTGTGGTCCCCTTGTAAATAAATCAACCATTCTTCCTTTAGGGGACAATCTAGTGAGCCCACACCACAGTATTAACTACTCAAGCATTATGCACTACACCTTTGTATCTAGACAAGCACTTGAGGCAAGCCAGGCAATGGAGTAAGGGGCTGGATGGGAGGAAAGAGAGAGAGGAATCCCCTTCTCTGAGGGGTGCTTATAGTGCCCAGACAGTGGAAAGCACAACCACACCTTGCCTCATCTAAGGTTCTGTGGCCTTAGTCCTTCTAGCCCAGCATACCCTCCAAAGAGGATTCTAACCACATCCTGACAAAAGTTACCTGGATCTGAGCACAATGAAGACCTTATGCTCATTTCTGGCATCCATACTTATATTACCCAAATTGTTGAGTCACTTAGGAAATACTTACTGAGCTGATCCAGGGCTGAGGGCGGCATAATTACTGTGAAAAAGAATATTTCAGGAATATTAAATAAGTAAAAATAAAAGGGATAGAACAAAGTAAAGGCAAGACATATACTTTCTGATGCATCTTTTAAAAGCTTTAAACAGTATTTTAGGGTAACCAGAATTTCATAATGACTTTTCATTAAGAATCTAACTTGAAGTTATTTACTTTTGTGCTCTGAATGGCACTGTCATCAAACATGATTAGCACCCCACTCCCCCCACCCATGCCCTAGAACGAGTGACATTTTACTATAATGCTCGTGTCTGGTGCCCACATGCAAACTAAGGCTGGGGGAGACTGACTACAAGGCTCATTCACAGACTTGGGGGCGGGAAAGGTTACTATTCAAAATAAAACAAGCACATACTCTTCCCTCCTTTCTCCACATCTGACCTGTCATTAGGCCCCGCTAGCATAGACACGGAGAAGCAGCGGTACTGCGTGGAGAAGCGGTTCTGGAAGACCCGGGGAATCGGGTGGTCAAACATGTTGAAAGAGAACTAGAAGGAAGAAAGAAATGGTATTATTATCCAAACAAACACAGGTACTTAAAAAAGGTGAGGACTCACTATGTTCCGGCAAGTGATCTTGACTTAGCCTTCCACATAACTAACTGGGACTCCAAGTGCAGCCACTGTATCTAGCTCAAAGATACATGTCTTCAAGCCAAACACTGAACATGTCGCGTCATCAGTGCTGATAAATGTGGCCAAAGAATGTAATCAACTAAAATCTCACTGGCCAGAGTGTTCTGACTTCCCAGGCAGCACAATGAACCTCAAATCCTTTTTCTCTCCCCGTCTCACCCCTCAGGGCCAGTTCCCACTATCTGTAGACACTGCAACTTTACGTAAGGCTGGGTCATACCAGGCCTTCCTTCTCTCCTTTGTGCTACTATTCCACATTCTGAGATCCAGGCTGGGCCTTCCATACACCTCACCGAGAACAAGACTCAATACTGACCGCCCACCATGTCCTAACCTGGCGTGTTCTGTCTGGAGCCCTTTCCCCTCCGCCCTTACCAGCACCTCTTTGCTAAGTGCCTACTACCTGCACGGCTCTGACCTGGGCTTTAAGGAACATCACTTTAGTAATGTTGGGTACTAAGAAGGCAGATACCACCTCTGCTCTGGTGAATCTCATGTTAAAGACAAGAAAGATAACAACAAAACACGAATGTCTTGGAGTTTTAAAGACCACAGGCAGGTATGGGGACAGAGAGCACCTGAGAACGGATATTAAACAAGTATTCAGGAGGAGATTATCATTAGAGACCTACAGGAAAACAAAAAGGCATTCCTGGTGGAGGAAAGGCAGTTGCCCATGTATGCTAGCCTGTGTTTGCCTGTCTTCATCTGGCTTTTTTACTACAATCCTTTTCTTTCTTCAGCAAGCTTCCCCTGCTTGGCCATGAGGCAGGGTCAGTGCTTCCCCAGAATGCTCATAGCATAGAACAGATACGTACACTGTGCTGTAGTCTACTGACCTCCACACGCACAGATGTGCACCCAAGCACACAGACTCACCTACCCCCCCAACCTCTACTGCACACACACATCCCCCACCAATAAATCTTAAAAGGTGGTTCTTCCGTATTTTTCTGAGACAGGGTTTCTCTGTGTAGTTTGGCGCCTGTCCTGGATCTTGGTCTGTAGACCAGGCTGGCCTCGAACTCACAGAGATCCACCTGGCTCTGCCTCCCTAGTGCTGGGATTAAAGGCGTGGGCCGCCACGGCCCAGCTTATCTTTTTCTTTAAGCAGCATAACTGTTTGACTCAGTCTTAGGTGCACAGCCCACAAGTCCCTTTGGAATGAAGGGGTTAGGAGTGGAGGTGCACTCATCAAAGCTCCTTCCCTATGCCATCCACTTAAGCCACTGCTTCTCTCTGAAACATAAATAACATACTTAGAGTAGGTGACACCCCTAGCAATATCCCTCCAACTCATGAACACGTCCTTCGGCTCCTTTACTGCTCCTGTCTTCCATGTTTAAAGCTTTGATGCCTAACACATCAAATACTCAGTAATGGTTACATAAATGAACTTAGAAATTTGATTTAACAGTGACACTCAGGGTAAAATCTAATAACCACTTCTTGTTTTTAACAAACAAGTGACATGGAGTCAACGCTACATACAGTAGTAATGAAACATCACTGCAGCCAGATGAGTGTGACTTCAGATCTCAGTGCCTCACTTTCATGATTACTACCTCTTTAAGTTTACATCTCTGGGTTCGTATAATAACTACCTACGTTCCCAGAGGACTGCAGGAGTTAAATAAGGGTGCGCTGACAGAAAAAAGCGCCCCCAAATACTGTCTACTGTTGTTATCACAACCTCATGAACACAACGTGACATATATTCTAAGGCATTATCTCTACTGCATAAAAGGCCACAGAACTTAGGAAAAGCTTAATGTCCTTCGGATTTTCCTCCCTCGCGCCACTCCCCAGGAACTCTCCAGCTAACTTTGAGTTCATGGAAACCTGTTGCGCGTCGAGCTCTTAAGAGAACTATGGACACAAAGTAGCAGGTTCCTCTCTACTCTCAAGGCCTGTGTCCCGCCAAGAAGCATACGAGTCACGACTCCGACAAGCTAAGAGGGAAAGAGGCGGCTCGTAACTATGGATCCCACTTGGGACAGAAGCGCTCGGGCCAGCGGAGCCGGCCGGGCGCAGGCCCGGGTGACTCGGCACCTCGGCCCCAGATCCAGGCCGTCCCCGCCAGGAGCCGCGGGTAGCACTGGACTCTTCCCGCTCCCGATCCCCAGCCAGCTTACCATGACTGACAGCACTTGGTGACGCCGCTTCTCTTCGTGAATCTTACAATAGAAACCCTGAGCTCCCTCTACACGGTCGCCGCCGCCGCTCTAAAACCCAGAACCCGCGAGAGGCTCGCCGGAAGTGACGGAAGGGAGACCACAGGGAGAGCACCGAGGGCTGGCGTCGGCAGCGAAAAGCAGAAAGTCACGGAGAGGCCTGGAGTTTGAAAAGTATTAAAAGAATACACTAAAACATTTGATAACTCATTTCACAGGACAGCAATTATTTATAATGTTTAGATAGCATTCCCTTCCTAACTTGGTAGGCTCCATTCTCGTTATTGACTACAATACCCAGAATGCAGGTAGTTTCCGGCCTTGGCTTCAGCCATCATGGACTCGGGCGGAAGTGCGTTATATATCAACTCTCTACCTCGACCAACAGTGCCTTGAAAACGTAATTGCCGTCCTCAAACGATGTGTAACTGAATTTACTTTATGTCTAGGAGTATTTTTTTTTCCTGAGCATCCCAGGTGAAATGGTAGGCATACCTTCCCGAAGTAAAGATGTCCGCCGAGCGTAGGTGGTTTTGGGTAACTGGAAGTTAGCGTCAAAGGGAGTAACAAGATTCGCAGCCTGACTCTAGATGACGCTTCTTTGGGTGAGTGGGTAGGGGGCGGGACTTCTCCAGCAGCAAATAGCGGAGCTTTATTGGCTGTCTCCCAACGGGACCCAATCAGAAAGGAGGAAAAGGCTAAGAACTATTGGCTGCTGGCATGGGCCAATCGGAAGAGCCGTGATTTGGCGGGAGTCTTGACCACCTCCAGGGCTATCGGTGTCTCAGCGCCAGCTCTGGGTATTCGGTCGCAGTGGCTATGTTCGTGTCCGATTTCCGCAAGGAGTTCTACGAGCTGGTCCACAACCAGGTGACTCCCATTCCACGATCCTGGTCCAAACCTTATCTGAGGGGAAGGGATGAGGGCGAGTGTCCGTGAGTGGGCAAGGAGGACGGGGTGTTGCCACAGAGTTTGAGGTCCCTGTGCTCAACCCACCTGTCTGCATTTCCTTCAACAGAGGGTCCTTCTCTTTGTGGCCTCGGATGTGGATGCCTTGTGTGCTTGCAAGATCCTTCAGGTGAGCTTTGATTATCTTAGGAAGTTAGGGCAGGGGCGAGAGGTGAGGCAACAGGGTTGGCCCCGGCAGGAGGTGGGGCGCAGGAGGGGAGGGACCTGAGGAGCTGGTGACCCAGGGAGGGGCCCAGCGGTCCCTCTCTGAACTGTACCGGGACTAGAGAAGTGTAAACAGTGAGACAAGTAAGTAGTGCTTTGTTTTTTGCTTTGTCTTGTTTTTACAATAACCCAAGTGAAAATGGCTTCACTTCTGAAATCTTTGAACCTGAAAATGACCTCTCAAAGATCGAATTTGAGAGAGGGCTGTGATAGCTGGGAGTGGCGTCATAAGTGAGTGCTGGAAATACAGGAATCCCTAGTCTATTAAAGAGAAGGTCATTAGTTTGGGCTTTGACTATACTGTGGTTTTTACAATGAATAGGGGGTCAGGAACTTTTTAGAACATCTGTAATTAAAATTACTTTTTCCCTCAGTGTGTGACTTTGGCAAAATGTGACAGATTTGGCAGGACTGTACATTGAGCACACACATCCCGCAACCTAGCTTCTCCTACCGATTTTGTTGTTTTGAGACAGGGTTTCTTTGTGTAGCCTTGGCTGTCCTGGATCTCGCTCTGCAGACCAGGCTGGCCTCGAACTCACAGAGATCAGCCTGCTTCTGCCTCTAAAGTGCTGGGATTAAAGGCGTGTGCCACCACCGACCTCCTCCTACTGATGTTTTACCAAACAGCATATCACATAGATCTTCTCTCAGCTCAGCTAATTTGTTTGCTTCTGGTGATTCAAGGTAGGTTATCCTAAATGACGGGGTTCTGATAGTATGCTTTCTCTCCAGGCCCTGTTTCAGTGTGACCACGTGCAGTATACCCTGGTTCCAGTTTCTGGGTGGCAAGAACTTGAAACTGCATTTCTTGAACATAAAGAGCAGGTATGAAATAATGAATCTTAGAATAATTAGTAGGGTAAGTGTGTTTTGAAGTGTCTGTTTCATTACACTTCAAGTTATGATGGCAGAATCAACATTTTTGCCAAAAAAACAAAACAAAACAGGAATTTGAGGCAAACCTAAACTACATATAGCAAGTTTGAGGCCAGCCTTGGCTACATAACAAGATCCTGTCTCAAAAATAAAAGAAGGTATGCATGTGGACAACACCTACTCTGACCTCACATATTTTCCTCGGATACACCACTGCTTTCTACATTCCAGTTTCCAAACACATGTTTTCCCTTTGGATTTAAATGGCAAAACCAAGACTCCTTACCTCTCAACCTGGGGTCAGATAAGAAATGGGACATGTACGGAGTGGGTAGAGTGTGCCAAAGGTCTCTAGAGTCCCTGACCACTTCTAGGATGACTTGGAAGAGATTTATTCATAACTCGAAGTACCTGTACCAACTGAGTTTTCCCCTCAGTGCTGTGAGACAAGATCTTACTTGATAGCCTATGCTGACCTTGAACTCTTGGGCAGTCCCCCTTGGCTTTCGAAGTGTTATATTACAAGTGTGAGCCCACCCAGGCAGTTGGGGAAAGGTTTTTCTGTAGTGGGTGGTTTGTTTTGATAAAGGACTTATTATTTAGGAGGCCATAAAGTATGGGCTGCCCAAGATTTCCTGTGAACCTAACCCACACAGTGCTTGCTGTTAATGTGGTAAGGCAGCAGGACAGTATAGTTAGCAGTATTCAGAGACATTGGTTTGCGTGTGGAGTCCTGGTCTGTTCTTCATTAACTATTGAGTCTGTGCACAAGGCTTGAGTTTGCTGAGCCGCAGCATGCTCTTCAGGAAGCACGGAAAGCCTCAGAGTCCATTTTACAGTGTCATCTGGGAAAGACAATAACCAGGCCAGCTGTGGGCAGTGTTCCTCCTGGGCCTGGCCACATGTGCTCGGCAGAGGAGCGCCAAGATTGACAGTGCTGAGGGAGGAGGGGCCTCCTTGGTGCAGTTCCTTTACAGTGTCTCTATCGCCTTTCAGTTCCGCTATTTCATCCTCATAAACTGTGGAGCCAACGTAGACCTATTGGATATCCTTCAGCCTGATGAAGACAGTGTATTTTTTGTGTGTGATACCCACAGGCCAGTCAACGTTGTGAATGTGTACAATGACACTCAGGTACCTGGCCCTTTTAGAGCCTTCCCTTATGTGTGCTCTCCCTTTAATCAGTCTGTACCTTCTTGTGCTGTGGCAGCATTGCATGGATCTTCTCCAGTTAGGGGGTATCTTCAGTTCAAGAACCCCATCTTACCTGCTCGTGGGCATGTGCACAACACGTTTGTGGAATTGCATCATCTGGAAGGTGGAGGATCAGGATATTTTAGCCCCAAATGGCTCTACTGTACTTATTCTGAACCTCTACGCCTTAAATATGCAACCTAGCATAGACCAGCTGACTAAGCAGTCTGACTTGGTCTCCTTCCACGTGACTTCAGACTCTGAAATCCTCATAGAAGAAACTTCTTCAAGAGAAGTCAGTCTGGAATTGCTATGAGAGACAAAAATTGTATTGGCTTAGTGTAAGTCTCAACCTACTTATCTGTGTAAGAAAACATCTGAGACTGGGTACTTTATAGATTAAAGTTACAGTTAGCTTACTGTCCTGGATATTCAAGAGCGTGGTACAAACATCGGCTCTGCCCTTGTGAGACCCCTATGGTGAATGGTCTCCCAAGAGAGGAAGTGTGTGGCAGAGGGAGAAAGATTCCATGGTGAGTCAGGAAACAGCAGCAAGCTGTGGAAGTTTTATAACCACCCTGCTGGTGGAGACCAAGCTTCTGTGAGGCCTGACACACTTCTGGAGATGGTGTGACTGCATCAGCAAGGGGAGAGCTGCGGCTGACCGAACACTTTCCAGAACCCACCTTTAAATGGCTCTACTCCCTCAACACCCTACACAGTCAGCAAGCTTCTGGCTTGGTGGACCTTTTGGGGGATAAACATATCCAAATATCCAACCATAGCAACATTTTCACATCCTCTATCAAAAGCCAACTGGTGGGACTTTTTTTTTTTAATGTATAGCATAAGAAAGAAATGTTTCGCAGAGTAGACTGTAAATGCTTTTCAAAATTTAGTTTCATAATTTCTGCATGTCATGTGGGACAGCTCTAGTGCTGTACTGAGCGGTATGGAGAAGCCTAGAGCTCTTCTTAGACAGGTGCTATTTGTATGTACAGAACACTTGAGAGTCAGCTGATTAAGAAATATTAAGAGTCTACACAAGCATCATGAGAAACTGTTTTTTTGGCAGGGAGAGAAGAAAATCATAATTGCTTTTTTTGTTTTATAACATAGATCAAATTGCTCATTAAACAAGAGGATGACCTTGAAGTTCCTGCCTATGATGACATCTTTAGGGATGAAGCAGAGGATGAAGATCTTTCAGGAAGTGAGAGTGATGATGCGTCAGAGCCTTCTGAGAAGCGGGCGCGGTTAGAAGAGGTACGTTTGGGCTGGGTGGGCATTCTGGAGGAAGCACAGTTAGGAGAGTTATGTGTGAGCCAGGTGTGACATTCTGAGCCTGCGCACATCTGGGGGGTTACCAGGCAATGGGGAGTGGGGGACTTATTAGGTGTAGGTATAGATTCTGGCTTCTGTCCCCTATCTTTGTGTCTTAAGGCAGATTTCTGGAGTTACTTGAGCTATATCTTATCTTATCTTATCTTATAGGAGGAACCTGGCAGAAGAAATGAAATTTAGGTCAGTTTAGCCCTATCTAGGAAAAGGTAGCAACATTCACACACACACACACACACACACACACACACACACACACACACACACACACACACACACACACACACAAAAGCCCTCACCATGGAGAAACATTAAACATCCGCTTTCCCACAGTATTGTTCATTGCAGTTACCATCAAGGTACCGTGTGTCTGTGGTCCCCTGGCCAGGCCTGTGTAAACACTCTAGGGAAGGCATTTTTGTGATCTGAGATTGGCCAGGGATCTGCCCAACATAGGTTTCCACCAGCTGAAGGATAGTGGGTAGGCGGTGGCCGTCCCTCCACTGTGACAGCTACGTTTTGTTCTTCTGTTCAGCATCACTGTTGAAGAAACCTGTGGCACCTGATCCTGTGGCACAGTTGGAATCTGGGTTTCCAAGGATGTGCTTTAGTGGAACCCTTTCTGGCCATGTTGATGACACTCAGAACGTGGCCAGTCTGAGGCAGGTCAGAGTCCTTCACAACTAAGTGTCCTGCTGTCTCTCCAGTCCTCACTTGTCTTCCTGTCACAGCTCTGGGTGGTCTCAGGATGTCGGCTCGGACCTGCTCTCACGCTGTTCCTCCAGCCATCCCTCATTTTGTTTACTTCCCAGCAGACTTGCTATTGCTTATCTGAGGAAAGCATAATCGTACCCCGATTTAGGTTTTATTTTTGAGGCAAAGTCTTGTAGTATAATCCAGGTTAGCCTCAAACTTTGGTTCCTGTCCTTCAGCCTCCTGAATGCTGAGCCTACAGGTCTGTGCCTCCGTGGTTTCTGATGAGACATCCAGTCATGTGTTCTGCTTTCCCACACACATAAGGGATTGTAGGGGTTTTTTTGGTTTTTGTTTGTTTTTTTTTGTTTTGTTTTTGTTTTTGTTTTTTTTTGGCTGTTGTTTTGTGTGTGTGCATGAGTTTTTGTTATTGTCTTTTTTTTTCTCTTCGATACTCAGGAGTTTGGGTTTTTTTCTGTGTGAGCTTCCTTTGGCTTTTTATGGAGATTTTTCGTTTTGGGGTGTTTGTTCTTTTTGACACAGGGTCTCACTATGTAGCCCTTCCTCACCTTGATAAGGCATCTTTAGTTGGGGACTTTGTTCTCCTTCTGTTGGTGTGCCCAGGTTGGCAGCTTCTTGGCCTTCAAGTCTGGATGAGCCAAAAAGGGAAACCAGGCCACACAGAGGTCCCTAACTCGGCGCCTGTGCTGCCACCTTTGGAGTCGTACTTAGCCTCTGTAACATCTGTGGGTTTAGATATGTCTAGCAGGCACTAAGGATCACAGCTCTATCTTCCTGGCTATAATATCTAGGTATTTTGGATGCTGAATAGGCAGAGTGGCCAGATGCTGAGTGTAGCGTGGAGCACATGCAAGGAAAGCCTGTGCTCTTCAGTATCTGGATGGTGTCTGCCAAGTTCTGGAGGCCAAGTGACCCAGTCGTCCCCTTCCTCAGCGATTCAGGTTTCCGGGTATAGGCTGGACTTGGAGCATGGACAAAACCCACATTCTCCCTCAAGGGGTCTGTGCCTAGGGGCTTCTTTCAAAGTTCCTTGTCAGGCTTAACCTTTTTGTCTTAGATTTTCTATTGCTGTGACAAAACACCATGACCAAGGCAATTTATAAAAGAAAACATTTAACTTAGAGCCCATGGTTGCAGAGGGTTTGAGTCTGTCATTGACATGGCAGGCATCGCACTGGAGCAGTAGCTGAGAGCTTACATTCTTAGCTGCAAATAGGAGGCAGACAGAGCACACTGAGAATTGAGTGGGCTTTTGAAACCTCAAAACCCACCCCCAGCAACACACCTCCTATACGGCCACACCTCCTATACGGCCACACCTCCTAGTCCTTCCCAAACAGTCCCACCAACTGGGAAACAAGTATTCAAACATGAGCCTATGGGGGCCATTCTCATTCAAACCACCACACTTTTCTTTTGTTTGTCACTATTTCAGGAGATTGCGGCACGAACCACAAAGAGGAGGCAGCGAAGAGAGTGGGAGACCCGGAGGTGAGTCCCGTGAAGCAGCTCTGCGATACCTTTAGGGCTTCCTGGATGCCACGTTCCCTTAGTTAAGAATCTGGGGCTGCCAGACAGTGGTGGGCACACCTTTAATCCCAGTACTCAGGAGGCAGAGACAGGCAGATCTCTGTGAGTTCAAGGCCAGCCTGGTCTACAGAGTGAGTTCTAGGACAGCCAGGGCTACAAGTGAAACCCTGTCTCAAAAAAAAAAAAAAAAAAAAGGAGAGGAATCTTGGGGCCAAGCCACTTTGGTGTGAGTATGTGGTCATTGTCTTGAACCACCCTGTGTATTGTCCTTGGGTTCTCCCAAATCAGGCCCTTCTGTTAGGAATGATGCCTTTGCCAGATTTTTTTTTCAGATGTATAGATACTTTCATTTATTAAACTTTTTATAAAAGAACAGATACCTGCCAATTGTATAAAATCTTTCATTGAAAGAAATATGAGCAGAAACTAAGTTACCCCTAATTTCTCTTAATGCATGTGTAAAAGAAGTGGCGCACTTTGAGATGAAAATGCTAGAATGGTTATTTGAGCTTGAAGTAAACATGTGTTTGAACTGGGCACAGGAGGAATTGCTTGCTAAAGGTCCTAGCTATCAGCCTCTGTGGCCCAGCTGAAGGTTCTGCCCACCAACCACGGGAAAGAAGATTGCCCCTCCTATAAAAGACAATGTCAGGCCATTTCTGGAAGTGTAAGGATGGCTAAGTGGAAAACTGTCCATAAGCTGATCACAGTTTAAGGTGTTTGGATTTCTTTTCTGAATTATTCTCTGAAACATGCTGAATTTCCCTCAGAATTATCCATATTTGTGCTTATTTTACTATCAAACTATACATCTAATTTTGCATTTTCTACTTAATATAGTGGAGACAAGGTCTCACTGTATAGCCCAGGCTAGCCTTGACTTGATTTACGATGCACCTGCAGCTTCCCAGGTGCTAAGAGTACAGGCAGGTACCACTATTTCTGACTATAATCATTTTTTATACTTCTGAATTCATTTTTGTGGTTTGTTTGTTTTTGAGACAAGAATCTCATGTAGTTCAGGTTAGCATCAGACTTGCTGTGTAGCCAAGGATGACCTTTAACTTTTGTTCTTAACTATTCCTACCTCTCTAGTGATGGGATTGCAGGAGATTATAGGTATGTGCCACCACACCTAATTTATGTGGTCCTGGGCTGGCGCTCTATTATCTGAGTCATATCCTCAGGTCACAGATTTTTATACTTCTGAACAGTCTTTTAAAAACTACTTAGTCGCCAGGCAGTGGTGGCGCACGCCTTTAATCCCAGCACTCGGGAGGCAGAGGCAGGCGGATCTCTGTGAGTTCAAGGCCAGCCTGGTCTCCAAAGCGAGTTCCAGGAAAGGCGCAAAGCTACACAGAGAAACCCTGTCTCGAAAAACCAAAAAAAAAAAAAAAAAAAAAAAAAAAAACCAAAGACCAAAACAAAAGGAACAAGCCAGCAGTAGTGGCACACACCTTTAATCCCAGCATTTGGAAGGCAGAGACAGGTAGATCTCTGTGAGTTCAAGGCCAGCCTGGTCTACAGAGGCATTCCAGGACAACCAGGGCTATACAAAGAGACCTTGTCTCAGAAAAAAAAAAAAAAATTATAAGACTAGGCACAAACCCTCATCAAGGTTGGACAAGGCAACCCCATAGGAAGGAAAGGGTCCCAGGTGCAGGCAAAAGAGTCAGAGATGTCCCCCACTCACTGTTAGGAGTCTCACGAGCACTAAATTTTACAACGTAATATGTATGCCGAGGACCTAGTTCAGTCTCTGAACCCTGCTTAGCTGACTCTGTGGCCCTTGAGACACCTGTTCTCATAGTGTCCTCCACTCCTCTGCCTTCTTCTCCAGGATCTCCTGGCTCTGCCTGGTGTTTGGCTGTAGTTCTCTGTATCTGCTTCCATCAGTGGCTGGATGAAGTCTCTGATGACAGTTGGGCTAGGCACTGATTTATGTGTGTAGCAGAGTATCACTAGGAATCATTTCATTGATTTTATTTATTTATTTCCAGTTGTGTGTGGTTCTATCCTGGGTCTCTGGGCTGTCCAGCCTAGCCATCCAGACAGTGTCAGGTGTGGGCTCCCTCTCATGACATGGGCCTCCAGTTGGGCCAGTCATTGGTTGGCCATTCCCACAAGTTCTGAGCCACCATTACCTCAGCACATCTTGCAGGCAAGACAAATTGTAGGTCGAATAGCCATTTCCTTGATGGCTAGGGATGTTGAACGTTTCTTTAAGTGTTTCTCAGAAATTTGAGATTCCTCTGTTGAGAATTCTCTGTTTAGATCTGTACCCCCATTTTAAAATTAGATTTTTGGTTTGTTGATGTCTACTTTCTTGAGTTCTTTATATATTTTAGACATTAGCCCTCTGTTGAATGTGGAGTTGGGAGACATCTTTTCCCATTCTGTAGGCTGACATTTTGTCCTATTGATGGTGTCCTTTACCTTAGAGAATTTTTTCAGTTTCATGAGGTTCCACTTATTGAGTGTTGTTCTTAGTGCCTATGCTATCAGTGTTCTGTTCAGAAAGTTGTCTCCTGTGCCAATGAGTTGAAGACTATTCCCCACTTTCTCTTCTATCAGGTTCAGTGTATCTGGTTTTATGTTGAGGTCTTTGATCCACTTGTTCTTGAGTTTTGTGCATGGCAATAGATATGGATCTATTTGCATTTTTCTACATGCTGATGTCCAGTTAGACAGCACCATTTGTTGAAGATGCTTTCTTTTTTCCATTGTGTATTTCTGGCTTCTTTATCAAAAATCAGCTGTCCCTAGATGTGTGGATTTAAGTCTGAGTCTTTGATTTGATTCCATTGATCAGCCTGCTTGTTTTTATGCCAATACCATGCATTTTTTTTATTACTATGGCTCTGTAGTATAGCTTAAAATTAGGGATGGTGATAGCTCTAGAAGTTCTTTCATTATACAGTATTATTTTAGCTATCCTGAGTTTTTTGTTTTTTCATATGAAGTTGAGTATTGTCTTTTCAAGGTCTGTCTTTACAATTTTGTTGAAATTTTGATGTGGATTGTGTTGAATCTGTAGATTGCTTTTAGTAAGATTGCCATTTTTACTATGTTAATTCTACCAATCCATGAACATGGGAGATCTTTCCATCTTCTGACATCTCCTCCAATTTCTTTCTTCAAAGACTTGAAGTTCTTGTCTTTCATTTGCTTGGCTAGAGTTACCTCAAGATGTTTTATATTATTTGTGGCTATTGTGAAGGGTGTTCTTTCCTTGATTTCTTTCTCAGTGTGTTTATCATTTGTATATAGGAGGGCTACTGATATTTTGGGTGTTTGTTTGTTTGTTTGTTTGTTTTTAATTGATCTTGTATCCAGCCATTTTACTGAAGGTGTTTATCAGCTTTAGGAGTTCTCTGGTAGAATTTTTAGGGTCGGCTTATGTATACTATTATATCACCTGCAAATACCGATACTTTGACTTCTTCCTTCCCAACTTGTATCCCCTTGATCTCCTTCAGTTGCCTTATTGCTCTAGCTAGAACTTCATTTACTATATTGAATAGATATGGAAAGAGTGGAGAGCCTTGTCTTGTTCCTGATTTTAGTGGAATTGCTTTGAGTCTCTCTCCATTTAATTTGATGTTGGCTATTGGCTTGCTGTAAATTGCCTTTATTATGTTTAGGAATGTTTCTTGTATCCCTGATCTCTCCAAGACTTATCATGAAGTGATGTTGGATTTTGTCAAAGGCTTTTTCAGAATCTAATGAGACAGATGATAATGTGTTGGGGTTTTTTTTTCTTTCATTTTGTTTATATAGTGTATTATATTGACAGATTTTCATGTGTTGAACCATCCCTGCATCTCTGGGATGAAGCCTACTTGATCATGGTGGATGATCTTGTTAATGTGTTCTTGGATTTGGTTTGTGAATATTTTATTGAGTATTTTTACATCAGTGTTCATAAAGAAAATCGGTCTGTAATTCTCTTTTTTTGTTGAATTGTGTAGTTCGGTTATCAGGGTGATTGTGGCCTCATGAAATGAATTCGGCAGTGTTCCTTCTGTTTCTATTTCATGCAGTAATTTGAGGAGTATTGGTGTTAGCTCTTCTTTGAAAGTCTGATAAGATTCTGGGCTAAAACCATCTGGCCCTGGGCTTTTTTTTGGTGGGGGGGGGGGCGTTTGGGTGACTTTTAATGACTGCTTCTATTTCCAAAGTTAAATCAAGATCAGATAAACAATTTGAATAGACCTATAACCCCTAAGGAAATAGAATTACAGACCAATTTTCCTCATGAGCATAGATGCAAAAATATTCAGTTGAATCTATTGCTATTGAGATATCAATGACCAATGACTATTAGTTACTGTTATTTTGTTGTTGTTGGTGGTGGTGGTAGAGTATGTACATGTGCGCACATGCATCCCTTTTGGTTTTGCTGGTGTGAGATTATTTCCTGTGTTTTCATGGGTGTAGTTAACCTCCTTGGGTTGGAGTTTTCCTTTTAGTACTTTCTGTAGGGCCAGATATTTGGATAGATGTTATTTAAATTGACTTTAGAGTCTACAAGACATCTGTCCAGACCCTTCTGGCTTTGAGTCTCCATTGAGAAGTCGGGTGTAATTCTTTTTTTTTTTTTTTTTAAAGATTTATTTATTTATTATGCACACAGAAGAGGGTGCCAGGTCTCATTACAGATGATTGTGAGCCACCATGTGGGTGCTGGGAATTGAACTCAGGACCTCTGGAAGAGCAGTCGGTGCTCTTAACCTCTGAGCCATCTCTCCAGCCCGTCGGGTGTAATTCTAATAGGTCTGCCTGTATATGTTACTTGGCCTTTTTCCCTTGCAGTTTTTAATATTCTTTCTTTGTTTTGTATGTTTAGTATTTTGATTATTATGTGTCATGGAGTTTTCTTTTCTCGTCCAATCTATTTGGTGTTGTATATGCTTCTTGTATCTTTATAGCCACCTCCTTTTTTAAGTCAGGAAAATTTTCTTCTACGATTTTGTTAAAAATATGTTCTGAGCATGGTGGTTGTAGCACACACCTTTAATCACAGCACTTGGGAGGCAGAGGCAGACAGATCTCTGAGTTTGAGGCCAGCCTGGTCTACAGAGCGAGTTCCAGTACAGCAGTACAGCCAGGGCTGTTACACAGAGAAACTGTGTTGGGAAAAAAAAAAAATTCTGGGCCTTTGAGCTGGTTACTTTTCCTTCTTCTATTCCTTTTATTCTTAGATTTGGTCTTTTCACAGTGTACCGTATTTCCTGGATGTTTTGCATCAGGAATTTTTTACATTTAACATTTCTTTGACTGATGTATCTATTTCTTCTATTGTATCTTCAACGCCTGAGAGTCTCTTCTTTCCTGTCTTGTGTTCTGTTGGTGATGCTTGCATCTGCAGTTCCTGTTCGCTTCACCAGATTTTCCATTTCCAGAATTCCTTCAGTTTGTATTTTCTTTCTTGCTTCTATTTCTGGTTTCAGGACTTGAACAGTTTTATTTGTTTCCTTCAACTGTTTGTTTTTTTTCTTGGCTTTTAAAAGGGATTATTTATTTCCTCTTTAAGGACCTCTCTCATCTTCATAAAGTTGGTTTTAAAGTTGTTTCCTTGTGCTTGAGCTGTGTGGGAATGTTCAGGACTTGCTGTAGTAGGCTAGCTGGGCTCTGGTGGTGCCATATTGCCCTGGCTGTTGATTGGGTTCTTACACTGGCATCTAGGCATCTGGGTTTGGGGTGATTATAGGTCTGGGTGCTGATTTCTGAGTTTGTCTTTGTTGATGGATGTTCAGTTCCTTGGTTTCTGTTTCCTCTCAGGTCTTCTGGCCGAAGTGGCCTGTGATTAAGTAGAGGGTCTCCACCTAAGTTGGGGACTAGACTTATGGTGGCAGGAGTGGCCTCTGATCTAGCAGGAGATTCTCAGCAAGAGTTCAGGGCTGGGATATGGTGATGGGGAGGGGGTAGCGATTAGGCATATACCAGACAGGCAGTGACAAGGACGAGAGGTTTGGGGTAGGGTGGGCAGGAACTGAGAGTGTTGGCGGTCTGTGGGCAGGGGTGGAGGATGGGAGCTTTACATGGAGTTCTGGCTTTCAGCATGGCCTCTGGTGGAGCAAGGGGTTTCCGCCGGAGTTGTGGGCTGGAATATGTTCAGGGTGTTTTTCTTGACTGCTTTCAACTTTATTTTTTGAAAGCAAGGTCTCTCACTGAGCTTGGAGCCCATCAATTTGGCTAGACTGACTGTCCTCTAAGCTTTGGGGATCACCTGTTTCTGTTCCCTCTCCTAACCCCAGTACACACAACACTTAGCTTTTTATATGGGTGCTGAGGACCCAAACTCAGTTCCTCATGCTTGCATAGTAGGTATCCTTTATCAGTTGAGCTATCTCCTCAGCCTTTTTATTTGTTTATTTTAGAGACTTTGCCTAACTTGTAGCCCAGGCTGGCCTTCAACTGTTCAGTCTCCTGTCTCAACCTCCTGAGCACGGGGATTACAGATGTGTACCACCATGTCTGACCCTTTCTCCGTTTTTAAAATGTAGGTTACTTCTAGTACTTCACCCTTGCAAATAAGTCTATAGTTAATGACTTTGTGCATGCAATATCAGGGCTCAAACCTGGGACAAATGGCTGAGGTGCCTATTTAACATGTCAAAGTGGACCTGGCTGCCAGGTTCTCCCAGCATCCCCTAGTTCCTACTTGTAACAGGGTATGGCAGGCATACCCAGCCCTCTACCCTAAACTCTCCAGCCCAACGACCCCTTTTGTCTACCCTTTACCCTTCTGGCTTCTTGGTCTGGCTTTCCCTTCCCTCCCTCCTCACATGGCCCAGCTCAGTCATGTCTACTCTGGACTCTCCCAGATGTCCCTGCCTCTGGCTATGCTCTCCCTTTTATCTACAGTAAACCTTCTCCTCTACCATACCTAGGAGCAGTCACGTCCTTCCTCTTTTTTTTTTTTTGTTTTTGTTTTTGTTGTTGTTATTTTTATGTTTTTCGAGACAGGGTTTCTCTGTGTAGCTTTGCGCCTTTCCTGGATCTCGCGCTGTAGACCAGGCTGGCCTCGAACTCACAGAGATCCGCCTGCCTCTGCCTCCCGAGTGCTGGGATTAAAGGCGTGCGCCACCACCGCCCGGCTTTTTTTTTTTTTTTTTTTTCTTTCTTGTTTTTTGAATTGCTTTGAGATAATTTCTCAGGAACAAGATTCTGAGATCATACCTGCCTAAAACATATGTATACATTCTGCTAAAGAATCAGTAAGTGAAAACAAATGGTAGCATCATGTCCTGCTGCTTCCAGTCAAAGACACCATTTTGTGTTGTTACAGGAGAGACATCCTCTTTGATTACGAGCAGTATGAATATTATGGGACATCGGTAAGTATGAGTAGATCTGATGCACTATTAAGTTCTGACTCTAGGGGTCAGTGTCCTAGGATGTAAGAGCAAAGGTTTGACAGCCAAAAAACCTGGCTTGCGTCAGAGTTGCATCTCCCCAACACTTGCCTTTGGGTGGTGGTACTGCCTCTCTGAGCTGTCCACTCCTGTTCCTCTGGAAGCTGACTAGAATGGATGCTTCCCAGTCTAGTTTTGGGTTGCCTTATCATTTTATTTATTTATTTATTTTTTATTTTATGGTGGTACAAAATTGATACATAATCAGTAAAATCAAATTTTTTGAGACAAGGCCCTCTTATACAGCCCTGGTAGCCCTGAGCTCCTGGCTTCAAATGATCCTCCTGCCTCCACCTGAATAGCTGGGAGTATAGTTATACACTACTATACCTACCAAGATTAAAGACCATAATAAGACTCTTTCTGCTTCCTGGAAGCCTTGACATAAGCTGTTCTGCTTTGCCATGCCCTTCCCACTGTGGTGACTGAAACCACAATCCATTTTCCCCTTTGTTAATAATAATAATATGCTTTTCTTTCTTTTCAGATTTTGTAGTGCTAGGGACCAAACCTAGCACTCAGACGTGCCAGGAAAGTGCTCAGCAATGAGCCACCCCTCAACACTTGCTAATTATTTTTAATTCTAGAATCAAGCAAAACTTTATTTCATAAAGTAAAGCCAGACATGGTGGTGCACATCTTTAGTCCCAGTACTCGGGAGGCAGAGGCAGGCGGATCTCTGAGTTCAAGGCCAGCCTGGGCTACAAAGCAAGTTCCTGGATAACCACGGCTGCACAGAGAAACCTTGTCTCAGAGAGAGTGTTCTCCGTGCTTCACATTCTGGATCTGGAACTTTCCGGGCTACTCTCTGACTGTCTCACAGCCACAGTGGTCTAGAGCATCTAGTCAGACAAAGGTCCAGAGGAGCCAAACATGCTCTGCAGGGTGGCGCAACTCATCTAGAATGTTGGGCAAGCTAGATGTATTGACTGCTGCTTATTTTGTCTTCTTTTCGCAGGGTTGGGTGTACCCATTGTAAGTGGAGGGCGTCTCCACTCCTTCCAGAGGCAGCTGTTAGGGTAGTCTGCCCTCATGCCATGTAGCTGCTGGCAGCTGTTCTTGTTCATCATCAGAGATACAAAGTAACGGAGCTAGGGAGATGGCTCAACAGTTGAGAAAGTAAATACTCTTAGAGAGAACCCAGGTTTGGTTGCCAGCACCCACATGGCAGCTCACAGCTGTCCATGAGTCCAGGTCCAGAGTATCTGCCTCCTTCCTCTGGCCTCTGTGGGTACCAGGCACACATGTGCACAGACAAAACCCTCACACATAAAATAAATCAAATCTTTAAGAATACATATTAAATTGGGCATGGTGACTGTTTTAGTTAGGGTTGCTATTGCTAAGATGAAACACTGACCAAAGAAACTTGGGGAGGAAAGGGTTTGTTTCAGCTTGTATTTCCCTCACTTCATCACTGAGGGAAGTCAGGACAAGATCTCAGAACAGGGAGGAACTTGGAAGCTGGAGCTGTTGCAGAGGCCATGGAGGAATGCTGCTCACTGGCTTGTTCCTCATGATTTGCTCAACTCGGACCAGGGATGGCCCCATCCACAATGGCTGGACTCTCCCCTATCATCCTGAATTAAGAAAGTGCCCTACAGGCTTGTGGACCTTATGATGCATTTTCTCAGCTGAGGCTTCCCTCCTTTCAGGACTTCAGTTTATGCTATGCTAACATCAAACTAGCTAGCACAGTGGCACACCTTTGATCCCAGCACTTGGGAGGCGGAAGGAAGCAGATCTCTGAGTTCAAGGCCTGACTGCCATCCAGAGCTACATAATGAGACTCTTATCTCAAAATAAATAAGTAAATATATCTGTATTGATCTCTGTGCAAGATTAAACTGTAGAATTACAGTGGTACATCTGATTTTTAAATAGAATTTAGTGTAGAAAGCCTGTTGCTAGGCTGTTAGTGTTAGCCAGAGTTTAGGGCCTTTACTAGCTCCAGAAGATACATGGTTCTTAACATATGTTAATTTGATTTAGGATTTTTTTTTTTTGGTTTACTTTATGATAGTGCAAAAGTGATATATGCGCAGTACAAATCAAAATTGTTTTCAATGAAAACACTGTATTCACTCTTCAGATTTGACTCTTAGACCTTGGACTCTTGATACTGTATTTCCCATGTTTCATTTGTAGTCAAGTTTTGCCTCCTCTGGCTTTGTGCTCAGCTCTTGCCATACATAGGGAGGGAACTGTTGTTCTCAGAAATGATAGCTGACTTTCTCCAGATACATGGACAATTCCCTTAAAATTTGCTCCCTGGAGGAAGCCAGCATCTCACCCTAAGTGTGCTGGTCAGGCATCCATTACCTTCACAGTCTCACTACTCAGGCTGTTACCTCTTCTGTCCCTGAAAGACCTTCAGGGGGAGTCCAGGAGCCCCTCCCACTTTAATATCCCGGCGACCTGGGGATGAATCTGAGGCTGCCTCCAAGCAGGAAGAATGCAAATGCATAGTACACAATCAGACAGCAGGGCCTCCTGACATAGGTTCTCAGTGCCTCCTTGAGCATCACCTGTAAGGTGTTCAGAAGTCTCTGCATGGTGCTATGCCTGGGCTTCCCTCTGGGTGGCACTTTCTTCATTTGCTACATGATTAAAAACACAGATGTTTGGGTCGGTGGAATGACTCTGTCATCCTTCACTCTGATGGGACATTTTTCTCACGTGCTGGAAAGAAGCCTGAATACCCTGATTTGTGGGCCTTGGCTGGGCTCCTTATCTTAGAGTTGTCCCCACTGTATTGCTCCTTCTGTGAACTCAGTGGCTTTTGGCTTCAGGCTTTTCTGCTTTCTTGCAGTCAGCCATGGTGATGTTTGACCTGGCGTGGATGATGTCCAAGGACCTGAATGACATGCTGTGGTATGTAGCACACACACATTCCTGTACACCCTGCAGCATCCATATTGGGAGGCCTGCCACCAGCCAACATCAGTGTCACGTGACAGCCCCTTGCTTCCCCCAGGAATGTTAGGTGCAGTCCCTTCCAGGATGATTTCTAACCCTCGTCTTCCTGGGGTTAAATGTGAGGCTAGGGGACTCATACGACCTTATAGAGGTCAGTGGGGCTCCAGTGCAGCTTCTGTCTCCACCCTAATGCTTAGCCTTATGCCCTGTAAGTACACTAATTTGAAGTTTGAGTGAGATAGCCCTTACTAGGCATCCTTGCAGCCCTGGCACTGGTACAATCCAATGCAGAATTGTCCCTGCCTACAATTTCTCTGTGCAGACTGCAACCAGGGCCTTGAACACACAGACCAGTGGGCCTGCCAGTCACTGCCGACTTGGTTGATCTAGAAATAAAATCTGGTCTTTATAAGTGAGAAGCATATAAGTCTGGCCTGGCTCCACCTCCTCGGCCCCTTGTTCGTGGTACTTTTTTTCTCTGCACTGTCTACCAAGGCTCCTCAGCTCTAATCACCACAGTCATAGTTATATTTGTCTGCATAGAATCGGGACAGGTTAGGACTTTGCAGGGCCACCTCTAGCCCGAGGGTGTTCCGCCATTCTACAGTTGTAAGGGCGCTGATCTGTTGCCTACTCCAGTTCTCAGCTCTCATTCTTGTGCTGTGTGCCATTACTTACTTGGCCACTTGCCCACCAGCTGCCCCAGCCAGGTTGTGTGCTGAGTGGCTTGGAGTCTATCATGAAAGACCCTACAGTTAGGTGAGGCAGGACTCCTGTACCAGTGATGGGTACCTGCTGGCTACATTGCTTTGGTATTCAAGCTAAATTAGTTTCCTACTAGAGCCAGTAGCAACCAGTTTTGACAGGAACTGGGGAGGGCTGGGCCTGGGTGTGTGCAGTGTACCTTTCATAGAGTACTTCTTTTACTGGATGGGTGGCCTAATGCCTTCTTGTCTGACTTGTGATGGGTCCTTTAGGTCACTGGTTTACACTGGTGGCATCTGTCTGACCCATGTATAGTTTATGTCTACCCAAGCTTTGCCCTAGAACTGGAAGCCTGACCTTGTGTTTCTTCCAATATCTTAGCAAAAACCTTGCCGTAGGTGTACCATTTTTTAAGATGGGAGGTGCAATTTGAAGATGTCAATATTCAAAATCACAGTAGAAAAGAAGCCGTAAGATGATTATTTACAAATCCTGGGATGGGCACAGTGAGTTGGGAGGCCATGCTAACATTACACTCCTGAGAATGTGGAGCCTGGGCTGTCCATCATGTCAGCTGGCTCCATGAGACACAGCCTACCATGCCCAGGCAGCTTGTAGCTGACTCCATCATCTTCTGCTTTCCTTCCAGGTGGGCCATTGTTGGACTGACGGACCAGTGGGTGCATGACAAGATCACTCAGTAAGGGAGATGCCCTCAGTTTGGGGGACAGCTCTGTGCTGTGTGCATGTGGCAGTCCCTGAGTTTGCCACAAGGAGATAGGAGGCATTGTCATTAAAAACCCTATGGAGAAAGGGGGGCTTCTATCCTTGCCTGGGCTCTTGGGCTCAGTACCAGATCTCTGTTTTTGCTTATGACCTAGCTTGGCCTCTTTATCACCCTGAGAAGTCCACTGGGTGGAGCCAACGGTGGGAAGAAGGACTTGGTTTGACTTCTTCATTCTGTGGCCTAAAGACAGGCACTGAGATGTAGCCCATGCATGTTAGAGATAGGGGGAGACATTGGACGTATGTAGGAAGTAAGGAAAGAGAATGTGAAGGTCTGGGGTCCTGTCAGGGAGTACAGCTTTGATCTCAAAAGGGAAGCAGGGGACTTTAAGGAGGGCTGGTATAAAGTGCAGTATGGTCCTCTGTGGGTGTGGCAGGCTCCCTTCTGGTGGACTCTATGAACTGGGGAAAGTAGAGTGTCTCACTCACTCCCTTAGGCAATTCAGCCTGAAGATAGCAAGCGGGACACGTAAGAGAATTAGCAGGTCAGGCCTGGGGTTCTAACCCTCTTCAGGAGACCCCCACGAGTGTCCCTGAGCATCACCTTCAACTGTTCACCTCCTTCCTTGTGCAGTTTGCAGAATCCCCCACTGTGTACTAGGCCTTCTAGGTAGCCCAGGAAGTTTAAGGAATCCAAGCTTTATCAGCGTTCTGTTGCTTGGGTTGCCCCTTTGAGCCGGCCTTCGGCCTTGCTATGCCTCAGTCCCTCCCTGTTAAGGATGGTGTGGGGATGTTGGAAAGATGGTTCAGCAGTAAGAGTACCTGATGCTCTTACAGAGGACTTGAGTTCAGTTCTCAGGACAGCACCCACGTTGAGAGGCTTACAACCTCCTATAACTCCAGCTCCAGGGGTTCTGACGCCTTCTGACCTTGTTTAAAACAGGATGGCGTAGAGTAAGCATGTGAGTGAAATAGAATCTAGAAATGGTAGTGCATGCAGCATTAGGAACTTCTGCTCTTAGCCTCAGATGAGACCCTCTGGTCACCAGCATGGCCCATCCCAGTGGGGTCTGCCTACCCCATCTGCATTTGCTGGCAATATATGTGCTAGTCTAGTTTCTGTGTGGATTATTGTTATGAGGTCTAATTGATTGTATGGCTGGACACCTAGCCAGCCCCCTCCATACTGCTCACAAAAGGTGTCTCAATACCTAAAGATAGGATGTAGCCTGGCCAGAGAGAGGCCACCCTGCCCCGCTCTCTGTTGTCAGTCCCTGGCTGGCTAGTTTATACCTAAACAAGCTTCCTCAGTTCTCATTCAGGAACAAATATGCTTGGTGGAGAGGCCCCTGAGTTGGGGAAGGAGCTGGTTCAGCCTGCCATGCTTTCTTCTAGAATGAAGTATGTGACTGATGTTGGCATCCTGCAGCGTCATGTGTCCCGGCATAACCACCGAAATGAGGCGGAAGAGAACATGCTCTCTGTAGACTGCACCCGGATCTCTTTTGAGTATGAGTATCTTTGCAGCTTAGTGCCTTGGGGTTTGGGCAGCACTCGCTGCCCTTAGCACGTTGCTCAGCAGGTGATTTCTGCTCCATCACTGTGCTGATAGAGCTGCCTGCTTCTGTCCTCCTACGAGCAGTGTGTTTATGATATAGTTGCTGGTCCAGACCGTGTCTGGGTCATGTGGGAGGTCATGCTGAGAGCTGAAGCAAAGTGGACAGCAGTCCCTGGGTCCCAGGGGTTGAGAAAGAGGGGCACTGATGAGGACAAGAAACACCAAGTACCCAGTGGAGCAGTGGTAAGGCACCAGCAAGACTGCAGAGTGCTCTGGGATGGTCTGTATGTCAAGTGTGTTGCTGATTGGTCAATAAATAAAACACTGATTGGCCATTGGCTAGGCAGGAAGTGTAGGCGGGACAAGGAGGAGAATAAAGCTGGGAAGTGGAAGGCTGAGTCAGAGAGACACTGCCAGCCGCCATGATGAGAAACAGCATGTGAAGATGCCGGTAAGCCACGAGCCATGTGGCAAGGTATAGATTAATGGAAATGGATTAATTTAAGCTGTAAGAACAGTTAGCAAGAAGCCTGCCACGGCCATACAGTTTGTAACCAATAAAAGTCTCTGTGTTTACTTGGTCGAGTTTGAGAAACTGTGGGACTGGCAGGTGAGAGAGATTTGTCCTGACTGTGGGCCAGGCAGGAAAACTCTAGCTACAGCAGAGTTAACCTGATCCCTGTAGAGGAAAGGCCTCTGATGGGGACCATGTGTACTCAAGGGGCTGTAAGTGGTGAAGGGCAAGTTCAAGAATGATGGAAGAAGGGCTTTAAGAATAGGGAGGGTAAGGTCAGGCAGTGGTGGCGCACGCCTTTAATCGCAGCAGTTGGGAGGCAGAGCCAGATGAATCTTTGTGAGTTCAAGGCCAGCCTGGTCTACAGAGTGAGATCCAGGACAGGCACCAAAACTACACAGAGAAACCCTGTCTTTAAAAAAAAAAAAAGGGGGTTAGGCTGGGCTGGGCAGACCAGGGGCAACAGACTAAATAGTAACCTGAGCTGCTTACTCTGCTTCTCATGGTATATGGGGCTCTGACCACAGTAGCTGACTATCAAGCTCTGCATCTTGGTCTGTCACAGAGAGAAAATGGTGCATGGTGCACAGGTGCATGCACAGGTGCATGGTGCAATTTCAGATGCTCCCTGCATGAGTCAGAGAGCTCTGAGATCTGCTGCCCCCAAGCAGCCCCCAACATAGATATGCAAATAGGCCCCAACAAAAGGGTCCCACAAACCCGGCTGTCCATTAAGAATTCTGGGTGGGTCCATACCAACCCAAGGATATAGGCCACTGATAGCTCCATGCAGGTAGTGGGCAGTGGATACCGCGTGTGCTCCTTGACCTTGGACCCAGCCTCCGCCTGGCACTGTACCAGCACTGGTCCCTCCATGAAAGCCTGTACAACACCAGCTACACCGCAGCCAGGTTCAAGCTCTGGTCCGTACACGGGCAGAAGCGACTCCAGGAATTCCTTGCAGACATGGGGTGAGTGACTGCCCTGGCCTGAGGCCTCCTACCCTGTCCCCACCCTATTGTGACTTACTTGTACATAAAGTACAGTTCCTCCTCCAGGTCCTAGCTTGGGTCTGAATGCACTTGTCAGGACATCCCTGTGGGCACGCACAGTGGCCGCATGGCAAGTCTGTCTCTCTGCTGTCGGTGTCTGAGGTCTCACTCACACAGCTTGCTCCCTCCAGGCTTCCCCTGAAGCAAGTGAAACAGAAGTTTCAGTCCATGGACGTCTCCTTGAAGGAGAATTTGCGGGAAATGATCGAAGAATCTGCAAATAAATTTGGGTAAGTGCTTATCTGGATTACACCCCCTAAAGATAGGGCTTCTGCTTTAACCATATGCCTGTACTGATGCCAAAAGAAGAACTAACCTCAAGAGTGTACAAACGATTTTAACTGACTCAAATTTGACCGTTTCTGAAATTTTGAGTTCTCCTTGGATTAAAAATGCACCTTCTTGGTCTGAAAAGATGGTTCAGTAGTTGAGAATGCATACTGTGGAGCTGGAGAGATGGCTCAATGGTTAGAGCCCTGGCTACTCTTCCAGAGGGCCCAGGATCAATTCCTAGCACAGCACCTACATGACAGCTCACAACTGTAACTCCAGCTGCAGGGGATCCTCTATCCTCTTCTGGCTCTTTGGGCATATGTACACATAGACACATATTCACATAGTAAGTTTACAAAAATGATTTAAAAAAACAAACTAAAATGCACTTTCTTAAACTGTCCATAATGTTTAAAGCTTTTCTTTTTTTTTCTTTCTTTTCTTTATCTTCTTTTCTCTTTTCTTCCTTCCTTTTTTTCTTTCTTTTTTTGAGACAGTCTCCACATAGTCCTATATATCTTAGAACTTAGAACTCATTTGTAGACTAGGCAGAACTTGAACTCCCAGAGATCTACCTGTCTCTGCCTCTTGAGTGCTAAGATTAGTGTGTACCACCACACCTGGCATGTTTAGTGTCTTTAAATACTGGTACTGTGATGTAGACAGACATACTGGAATCAGAAATAAGGCACCTGGACCAGGTACAGATATGGTCTGTCCTACCAGGTCTTCAGGCACCACTGAGGCCCTGTTCCCCGGGTGCTCCTGCCTAGCCAGCTAATATTAGGGATAGACAAGAATCCTGCCCACACCTCAGGCCTGATAGCCAAGCAACTGCAGTCAGGGCAATGGGCTGCAGGGCCTGGGTGCTTTAGTCTGCCTCATCCTCTGAGCACTGGTCACACTCAGCGTTCTTGGGGACCTGTGAGGAACTTTAGGGTGTCTTTTGGTCTAGTGTGGGCATAAGACCTTTCTCACAAGTCGAGAGTGACAGCCACATTGCTTCCTCCCTTGACAGGATGAAGGACATGCGTGTGCAGACTTTCAGCATTCATTTTGGGTTCAAGCATAAATTCCTGGCCAGCGATGTGGTCTTTGCCACCATGTCTCTGATGGAGAGTCCCGAGAAGGATGGCTCGGGGACAGACCACTTCATCCAGGCTCTTGATAGCCTCTCCAGGTAACGGGTAGGATCCAGGCAGCCACCCTGTGGCCTCAGTTTCACACTGCACAGGGAGACCAATCACAAGGATGCCCTGGGCATGAGAACGGCTGTTCTATAGCAACTACAGAGAGTTAGCTGTTGCTAAGCTGCTGGCCCTGCCCCAGTGTTCCCTTCTTCTTGAAATAAGTGGGGCCTCTGTAGCTCAGGCTGGCCTCACATTTAATGCCTAGTCCAGGCTGCCCTCAAATTCATGATCCTTTTGCCCTAGCCTCCCAAGTGCTGGGATTGGTGATGTGCACTCCATCCCCAGCATCCTTGAGTCCTTTCCATTCCCTTTGTGATTGTCTTCTTTTTCTTCTGCCTTCTGACTCTACTAAGACATTATTATTCACTCTTGTTTTTCTTATAATTCATTTTTCAATTCTTTTATTTCTAATTCTCCTTCTGTATTTTTTTAAAAGATTTTATTTATCATGTATACAGTGAATGTTCAACCTACAGGCCAGAAGAGGGCACCATATCTCATTGTAGATGGTTGTGAGCCACCATGTGGTTGCTGGGAATTGAACTCAGGACCTCTGGAAGAACAGCCAGTGCTCTTAACCTCTGAGCCATCTCTCCAGCCCTCCTGTATTTTAATGTATCATGAAGTAGGACATTCCAGTATTGGTGTTTTGGAGTTGTGACTTTCTGGTACACTAGTATGTCAAAGGTGATGTTACTCTACTTCTCATTTTGTTATTTGTTGATTTTTGTTTGTTTGCTTGCCTGTTTGTGTTGAGGATCTCACTGTGTAGCCCAGGTTGGCCTGGAACTAGCAATGTAGACCAGACTGGCCTCAAAGTCACAGATACTCACTTGTTTCAGCCTCCCAAGTTCTGAGATTAAAAGTGAATGTTGCCTGATTAACAGAGTATCAACTTTGTACTTACTTTGTTAAAAATTTAAAATATTAATTGTGTGTATGCAAGCACACACATGCATGATGGGGTGGAGACGTGTGGAGATTAGAAGACAACTTTGTGGAGTCTGTTCTCGTCCTCCAGTTCTGGGGATCAAGTTCAGGTTGCCAGGTCGGTGCAGCAAGCACCTGTACCTCCTGAGTCATCTCACCAGCCCCTTCTTTGTTAATTCCGACATAAATATTTGGATTTTTCTCAATCATTTTTTATTTTCTCATTGCTACTACATAGAGATACAAGCAATTTTTGTGTTTTTATCATGTACCCTGTGTGTTGTTGCTTTATCTCTTAGGGGGCCGGCCACCCAGCTCCTAAATAAATACACATAGAGGCTTATTCTTAATTATAAATGCCTACCCTGAGCTTGGCTTGTTTCTTGCTAGCTTTCCTTAACTTAAATTATCCCATCTACCTTTTGCCTCTGGGCTTTCCCCTTTCTCTTACTTCTGTAAATCTTACTCCATGGCTTGCTGTGTAGCTGGGTGGATGGACCGTGGCATCCTCCTCCTTCTCTGGCTATTTCTTCTTTCCTCCCAGATTTCTCCTTCCCTATATCCTCTCTGCCTGCCAGCCCTGCCTATTTCTCTCTCCTGCCTCACTGTTGGCCATTCAGTTCTTTATTAGACCATCAGGTGTTTTAGACAGGCACAGTAACAGCTTCACAGTTAAACAAATGCAACATAAACAAAAGTAACACACCCTAATATTCTACAACACCTGTGCCTGCAGCCTTGTTGAGCTCATTGCTCTGACATTTTTTGTGGCCTCTCTTAAGCTTTGGATGGGAAAGATCATGTGGTCTGCAAACGGCACTGGCTGTGCTTCCTTTGCCATCAGGATTTCTCGTGGTGAGTTTCCTTGCTTGATTGTGCAGGTCAGTCCTCCAAGACCATGGTGAGATCCCAGGGTGTGCTGTCTGTCTGTGCCTTTCCTCTCGTTTTTTCATACTGGGGTTACACCTAGGGGCTTGTACATGCTAAGTGTGTGCTTCCTGAGCACACTCTCAGCCCCACTCTTTCATTTTCTTACTGTTCCTCTCCTGCTCTCTTGTCCCACGGTGAGCAGGTTCTTTTCTGTAAGGGCGATATAGACAGAGCTCTGTGTAGACTCTTGGAGCTACACTGCTCCAGCTCTCGGTCTTTACCAGGTTCTCTGTGCTGTAACCTGGCTCCATGAAGTTTACTTTGTGTGTTACACTTACATGCCGTTGAACAGGGCAGAACTCCCTCATACGTGCCGTTGAACAGGGCAGAACTCCCTCATACGTGCCGTTGAACAGGGCAGAACTCCCTCATACATGCCGTTGAATAGGACAGAACTCCCTCATACATGTTTTGGTACCTAACATCCAGTTGCCTGGAGTTTTCATTGCTTGACTCCAAGCACCCACAGTGATAGTGGCCGTGTGACAGATTGATGTCACTTTTCTTATATCTTGGGGTTTGTGGTGGTCCCTTCTTGCAAGTTTAGAACCTTAATGTCTGCTATTATAATGTAGTTGCTCTGTTTTGTTGTTTGGTTTGGTATATTTTCTCTAGTTTTTAAAATTTTTATTTTACATGTATGAATGCTTTGCTGCATATCTGTATGAGCACTACATGCATGCCTGGTGCCTTTGAAGGTCAGAAGAGAGTGTAAGATCCCCTAGAACTGACTTATGCATAGCTGTGAGCCACCATGTAGATGCTAGGAGTCAAATTCAGGTTCTCTGCAAGAGCAGACAGTACTCGTAACCAATGAGCCGACTCCTCAGGTCCATTTCCTGTCTGTCTGTGACACACACACACACACACACACACACACACACACACACACACACACACACACACACACACCCAGTTCTCTCAACAAGTAGTTTCTTTGTGTGTGTACCTGTAGGCGTGTGCATGCAGAGGTCAGTGCTGGGTGTCTTCTTCATTAACTTTTCCACCCTGGTTTTTGAGACAGACTGAACCTGGAGCTCACCAGTTCAGCCAGCTAGCTAGCCACACAAGCCCCAGGGACCCACTGCCTTTGCCTCCTCAGTGCTATAGAGTTGTAGGCACATGCCCACTGTAGCTGCCTTTCTACAAGAGTGCTGGGGATGCAGTTCAAGTCTTCACACTTGGGTGCTAAGTACTTCCATCTGAGCCCCTCGTGTCATCTCAATCCCTCTTTGCAGGAGAGCCTGCACCCTGTCTTCCTACGCTGGCTTAGACCTGCAGCTGCTGAGGCCCGCTGCCTGTGTCACCACAGTTGTGTATTCCTACAGCACAGTTCTCAGATAGCCTCAGAGAAAGGGAGCATGTTTCTTCTTAGTACTTCTTAGTCGTGTTTCTGTTTTCCTGGGACGTCCTGCTTTATGCTTTTGCTTTGTATTTCCATGATTTGTTTCATTGTGGATTTTGAGGTAGCTTTTCCTAACTTTGTCCTCCAGCATTTGACTAAATATTTTATTTCTTTCCAAAGTGTTCACTTCTGCCAGCACCGTCTGGTCTCTGACCTTTTTTCATAGTGTGCTGTTCTTGTTCAGGAGTGTTATGGTCACCCAGACCTCTCGGGACAATGGAGTCATTTTACGTGTCATCTGTTCTCTAACGTCTGCTTCCTTCGGGAGCACTTTCTTTTCAGGCCGTAAGTGTTTCTCAGATGTCTGGCATGTTTTGTATTTAGGCAGGAAGCTGTGGAATCTTGGCTTAGCCCCGGGTGTTTGGGCACAACTTTGGGCATAGAGGCTCAAAGGCTTGAAGGCCAGCCCTGCTTTTCCAAAGGGCTCATTAAAATATTCAGAAGGGAATACTCTCTTTTGGGAAAGAATAAGAGTCCCTCTGTTGGGTGGGTGTGGGGAAATCTTGATGCTTCCTCTATTGCGTGTCTAAGCCTACTCTAGTAGAGCCCTCCAGGTACCTTCTTGAGTCCTCCTTATGGGATCTTTAGATCCCACGTTGCTTGGTTGCCCAGGCTGGCCTCAGAGTCACAGTTTTCCTGAAAGCTGGGGTTACAAGTGTGTACCACCACGCCTATTAGTCTTCCTTCTTTTGATCCCGAGTCTCGAATCTCTTACTCCATCACTGTTTATAATCTTTTTGTTCCTTCCTTTCATGTGAAGGGGAACTCAAGAGGGAGAGAAGATAATTTTTATTTTCGAGACAGGGTTTCTCTGTGTAGCCTTGGCTGTCCTGGAACTCAACTCTGTAGACCAGGCTGGTCTTGAACTCGGAGATTCTCCTGCCTCTCCCTCTGAGTACTGGGATTAAAGGCATGTGCGACCACTACCTGGCTGAGGAGATAAATTCTTATCCCTAACCCCGTCCTGAACCAGGAATCAAGCTCTTTATTCATGACTTCGGCATTTCAGCAGTAGCACCCAACAAGCAGCGTGTAAGCCCGCTGTCTGCCTTGTTTCAGGAGTAACCTGGACAAGCTGTACCTCGGTCTGGAGCTCGCCAAGAAGCACCTCCAAGCCACCCAGCAGACCATCGCCAGCTGCCTCTGCACCAACCTCGTCACCTCCCAGGGCCCTTTTCTCTACTGCTCCCTCATGGAGGTTAGGCTTCCCTACCCACGCAGTGCCAGGCCTCACCCCACCCTCGTGAATTCCTCTGACCGTCTCTTCCCTTCCAGGGCACTCCAGATGTTACACTGTTCTCCAAGCCAGCATCCTTGAGTCTGCTCAGCAGACATCTGCTCAAGTCCTTTGTGTATTCGGTGAGGAGTTGGATGGAGTGGGGAGGAGGTGGCAATGGCGTGGGTCCAAGAGGGCAGATATATGTGCCAAGCAAAGTGTTAGATGATGGCCTGGGCTTACCTGTTGTTCACCAGTCATAGAGACTGGGCATACTCTTTATTTTAGACCATATTTTAACTCAGCTAAACTCTAGGAACTTTCCAGTTTCCTACAAGCTCTGATATTACCACTCACTATTCATGTCATTCAGCTAAATAGGGAGGGACACCCAGAAAGCCATGTGACTGGGATTTATGTTCATCTGTGGCAGAGCAGGAAAAGATGGAGTTAGTCATATAGATTGCTTCCCAACAAAGGTTTGAATAATGTCTCTGTGTAGATTTGTGGCGCAGTACCTTAATTAGAATACATCCTAACCCAGTTGGTTTTAGACAGGTCCTAAGCCAGCTAATAGAGAACTTGTAGGTAGGGAAGCAGAAAGGGCAGCTCCTGGTGACTTCAGCTGTCAGGCTTTCTCTGCGTCAGGATGAGGGTTATGAGGAGAATGACTCACGCTGCGAGTCAGCCAGTAAAACAGTGACATTGATGTTCTGAAGATGCCGAGTGCTGTCTCCGTGGGCTCCGCCTCCTCAGACTCACCAGTCTTTGATCCAACTATCTTATGAAGATTGGGGAAATAGTTCAATGGTGGACCCTCCCTAGTATATGTGAGGCCCTGCCAGTATATCTGACCCCCAGCCCTGAAAAGAGTTTTTGAGAAACTTGTAAGAAACAGAACTTGTGTTTTTGTTGTGCAGTGACTTCATGTAAGTGAAGTGATGTGGAGGCATTGTGCTGAGTAGTCTAAGTGGTCTAGAGATGATTACAGTGTATGCAGGGCATGCATAGATTATACCAACGGTACAGTGTTTTCATAAGAAATGGGACATTATTGGATTTGGGTGTCCACAGAAGTCCTGAACCAATCCCTTTACCTCCTAGGAATGATTAGTATCGAAAGATGAACCAGACCAAACAAGAGCTTTGCAGTCCTGTTGGCTTCCTTCACATCTCAGCCTCATGTATCAGTTTCGAGAAAGAGTGTCTGACTTCTGTGCCTCTGTTTCCTCATCTGTAGAAGAGGTCTAGTCAGTTATCAGGCATTGCCTACTAAACACCCGCCAGCTGGCCTAGTTCACATCTTGGGTCTCAGTCCTGCATAAAGTACTTCATGACCACTTAGGTGGTCACCTGGATGGTGTTGTGAGAGCTGTAGGTGTGTCTCTGAGGGAGACCTCACCATCTCCACCCTAACTGTGTGCAGGAGAGACCCAGGAGACGTGAATGCATGGATGAGTTTCCAACAGGAAGCACTAAGAGGAAGGAGAGCAGACCAGGCAGGGGCGTTGGGAGGTGTTCCTAGAGACCTGGAGGAGGTGGCTGGAGGAAAGCAAGGGCTGAGCCCCTGCAAGGCCTAGCTAGGGTGCTAAGAGGGTTGGGCCAGCAGATAACTGGGAAGCTAAGAGCCAAATATCAAGTTGGAATTCTAGCATCTCCTGGTGACTACACCCCTGTAGGCCTTAGGGGCTAGCCTGATGCTATCAGTTTCTAGGTGCTGAGCAGTGTGCTCCATTCTGCAGTGCTGAGAGTGCCCCTGTCTCCGTAGACAAAGAATCGACGCTGCAAGCTGCTGCCCCTGGTGATGGCTGCCCCCCTGAGCATAGAGCAGGGCACGGTGACCGTGGTGGGCATCCCCCCAGAGACTGACAGCTCAGACAGAAAGAAGTGAGTAGCTGCTACTTGCCCTGGGACAGCAAGGCTGAAGGCCCTGGGTGTGTCAGCACATTGGCACTCCAACTCTGCCGAGCCTGAATGCCATTTGCCCTTTGGTGTCTATCACAGGGAAGGGGTTGGGAAGGGTCTGCTGTCTGTGGTCTGTCTCCCAACATGTCTGTCCTGTACCTGTAGCTTTTTTGGTCGAGCATTTGAGAAGGCAGCAGAAAGCACCAGCTCTCGGACTCTGCACAACCACTTTGACCTCTCAGGTGAGTCTCTGCCCATGGCCGCACTTCTGCCCTCACACCTTCCAGGCCAGCACTGGCCCTGGAATTAGGCAAGCTGGTGTAAGGAAGGTACCTAACCAGCAGCCCCTTGTCCTACCAAAACAGCCCCAGGCAAAGCTGTTCTCAGCATCCACAGAACACTGGCTGGGAAGCTACAAGCATGGATGCAGCCTTACTGCCCTCCCCTGCAAATCGTTTCCCACCCCTGAAGGAAGGGCAAGCTGTGTGATGCTAGAGCCCAAGCCTCACTGGTCGGGCCAGTCTCTGTCCTGTGGACAGGGACACGGCACAGTCTGTGGCAACCCAAGGTTGGCGGCATGAAGAGCCCTGCCTGAGGCTATAGCTCTGTACCTGGGAGACAGTTTGACACTCATCACACTTACTGTGTTACTTAGAGAGTGAAGAGCCCAGTGACAGCTTCACCACTTAGCAACACAGGACATAGTTTACTTGTTACATAGTCTAAGCTGGCCTTGGTTCTCAGAATTTCCTGCCTCGGCCTTCCAAGTGCCAAGATTACAAGCATGGGCCGTCGTGTCTCTTTTATAGGTTTGGTTGGCTGGTGTGTTGTCTTGGTTTTGGTTTTCATTGTTTGTTTTTGTTTTGATTTGTGAGGCAGGGTCTCTCTACATGGCTCTGACTGTCCGGGAGCTTACTACATAGACAAGGCTAGCCTTGAACTCAGAGATCCACCTGCCCCTGCTCTGCCTCTGTCTCCTGAGTGCTGAAATCAAAGGCATGCACCACTGTGCCTAGCTTATCTTATTTTTAAGACAGGGTCCTACTGTGTAGACAAGGCTGCCTCAAACTCACAGAGACCCTCCTGCCTCTGCCTGCCAAGTGCTGAGATTAAAGGGGTGTACCACCACACCTAGCCCCATCTTCTTGTTGACAAATTTTTATTTTATTTTGGTTTTTCGAGACAGGGTTTCTCTGTGTAACTTTGTGTAACTCACTCTATAGCCCAGGCTGGCCTCAAACTCACAGAGATCTGCCTGCTTCTGCCTCCTGAGTGCTGGGATTAAAGGCGTGCGCCACCACTCCGGGCGACAATTTTTTAGTCTTATTTATGTTCCTTCATGTTCATGTGTGTTTTGCCTGCATGCCTGGACCCTCTGCAAGTGCAGCAAATGCTCTTAACTGCTGAGCCAGCCCTCTCTCTAGCCCCTTGTTGACACATTTTAGAGTAAGGCAGATTCAGCTTAGCAACACTTACTACTGTCGCTGCTTCACTAGGCTACAAAATACTGTAGCTGGGTGGCTTGCATGGGCTAGTTCCTGCCAGTGCCAAGCCTGACACCTGAAGTCAGGGTGTCAGAGTGGCTGATGGCCTCTGTCCTTGGCTATGAGGCTGTCTTCTTTCTTAAACCCCTCTGTGTGTGTCTGTGCCCTGATCTCTTCTTAGAAGGACACAACTCATGCTGGGTTAGGACCCACCCTGAGTACCTTATTTACTTCTTTGAAGGTCCTGTCTCCAGGTGTCATATTCTGAGATACTGGAAGTTGGGGTTTCAACAAAGGAACTTGGGGAACACAGCTCATTCTATCACACCTGAGTGTTTAGGTTTAGGGGTTTTGTTGTTGTTGTTTGGTTGGCTGGTTAGTTGTTTGTTTGTTTGTTTGTTTTGAAACAAGGTCTCTCTGATGTAGCTCTGGCTATCCTAGAACTCACTATGTAGACCAGGCTGTCCTCAGACTCACAGAGATCTGCCTCTGCCTCCCAAGTGCTGGGATTAAAGGTGTGTGCCACCACTACCTCGCTACCTCAGTATTTTATCTGAATCTCTCAGAAATTACCATGCTCTGATTCCATAACACTAACCTGTGTTCAGGTTCCTGCACTGTCCCAGGTAGGTTTCTTTATGCCAGGCAGCTGCAGCTGTGGCCTGTGGGGTTGGTCCACCTTGAACAGCAGCTCCTGTTTCCTGCCTGTGACCACAGCCCACTTTTATTACACAGGGAGGGTTTGGGCTAGAAGATTCCTGGCTTCCCCTGAGGGTTGGAGAGCCAGAGGTAGGGAGTGTAGAAGTGGCTGTGGTCAGTACCTGCCTGGTGGGGAAGGCTTTGCACTCCTGGGGGTTGGCCAGCACCAAGGAGCGTCCTACATGACCCTGAGCCTGTGTGCTCTTCAAAGCACAAGCAGTTGGTTTTATGTCCTCTCCGGGAACGGATATGGAAGCTGAAGCGCAGGACAGAGCAGGGCTGGTATGGCCTGCATCACTGTGGGACAGGCATTTGTGCCAATCCCTGTCCAAGTCTGTCAGAGGCGTCACATGCCTTGTGTCCCGTCCGCTGGCTGACATTGTTGACCCTTGTGTGCCCCGGGAGTCCTTGCAGGACAAGGCTCTGGCCTCTCCACAGTGTAGCCAACAGATCTGAAGTGGGAGTATAGTGGGAAAAGATGAACTCAAGTACTGCAGAACGTTCCAGCCTGGCGGGAGCCTGCAGTGTGGAATGCGATGGAGGGTTGTCGACCTCAGGGAGGAGGGGAGTTCATGTGCTCAGCCTAGTTTCTCACTCCTCCCACTCACAAGATGTTTTCCTTTCATTACTTCAGTAATTGAGCTGAAAGCTGAGGACCGGAGCAAGTTCCTGGATGCTCTCGTGTCTCTGCTGTCCTGAGGGTAAGCGAGGGTGGGCAGTCCTTGGGCCTCAAGCCTGGCTCCTGCTCTGTCTCCCTCCACAGAGGCTTTACTTGTATTTCAGATCAGAGCAGGGTTTGCAGATTTTTTCCCAGGAATGTCTGTCCTAAGAATCCAGCAGGGCCACAATGGAGCACTTCTGAGAAAGCTTAATTTCATTAAGCACCTTTGACCCCTCAGAACAACCTCAAATTTTCTCGAATGCCCACACCATGGGGCTGAGCATCATGTGTGACACACAGATTACCCAGTGCTAGCCCCGGGGGCCACCCAAAGTTTCCTACAGCCATAGCCACAAGCCCTGGGCTGGAGCCCACAGAAGTGGCACTCTGGGCTGTTCTGCTTAGTCTTTGATAAGAAAGCAAGCTGTTGGCAACTACCCAGCTGAAGGTCACAGACTGTTGGCTCCGCATGAGCCTTCAGCTATGGACAGCCATCCTGAGAGGCCTGCTGCATGTGTGTGGCCCAGAACACCTCCCTAGTGAAGCCCTCACTGTTCTCCCACATGATCCTTCTTTTTGAGGGACCACATGGGAAAAAGGAAGTAGGGGTTTTCTGCTGTGCCTGTGTAACCTTCTCAGCCTCTGTTTGGTCAGGCAGCCTTTCCAAGGCTCTGACACAAGGAACTGCCCTATCCTTGTTAAACCCTGAGCTGTAGGGGACCAAAATGGCCTAGTGGGTCTCAGGGACTCCATTCAGTCAGGGTACCCTGAACATTCAGGGCCGTACTAAGGAAGGTGTCTAGACTGGAGCAGGAAATCCTTGGTCAGACTTGCAGGTAATCAGCAGTGACCTTGGGCTTTGTAAATAACCAGTCTGACTCCAAAAAAGAGCCAACAGCACCCTTGGCCCACGGGTGGCAAGTGTGTATTGACTTGTGGGGAGCATCGTGTGCCAGGACTGACCGGAGGCAGACCTCCCTCCTGTACTGTGTCCACAGCACTGCCGTGTGTGTGGCCATCCAGCAGGGGCGTAACGGCAGGGGAAGGGGGAGATGCTGCTACATGATGGGGAGAGCAGTGGAGACTGGCCAGGCAAGGGAGGGGCCCTTGTTGAGCCATGAAGCTGCCCTGGCGGGATAAGTGGCCAGGCAAGGACTGTCAGGTGAAAAGGGTCTGGGTACTTTCATGGGGACAGTTGAGACGCTGTAGGGGTGTGGGAGGACAGTGATCTGGGTGGCCTTCCACTCCACATTCATCTTCACCCTACTGTGGAAGCTGCTCAAAAGCAGATCATGGAAGGCCTTGTTCAGTCTGTTTGATGCATGGGGAGAAAGGATGAATTGTGTGAAACCTTTTTTTTTTTTCTTCCAGAATTTGATTTCTCCGGAAGTGACCTCCTTTTCCTTATTTATATCACCTGGCATCTATTAGATTGCAAGATACATTTGAAGTGTGGGACTATGTGATTTTTAATAAAATAAAATGTTTGTTTGCGGTTCCATCCCATTTGTTCCTAAGATCTTAGTCCGTACTTGGAAGTACTCTGAGCCTTCTTGGGACCCAGGGTAACATTGTTCCTGTGTGCTGCCATTCTCCATGCCAGATAGGAAATACAGAGACTCTCTACTCAGCCCCTGGGACAAGGTCTCCCCTACCTGCTCTCCTGGCCTCCTGATGGCAATAGGCAGAGGCTGGGCAGGCCCTTCAGTACCAAGTATCTTCACAACCAGTACCTGCGATGGCCGCTGCCCAGTAATGCCAGGAAGGACCGGACTGCCTGCCAGACTGTAGCTGTATCACTGTCGTAGCCACCCCTTCACCATGGCCTTCAGCTTCCCTACCATTCACGGTGCTCCAGTGGTCCCTGCAGGCATGCAGGGTCACACAGCTTTGCAAATGGGGAAGTATGGGGAGGCCTCAAATCAAGGAGGGCTAACTGCTGAGTAGTGCCTGAATGGAAATACTGTTCCAGGCTTCTGTCGGCATCGCTCACACCCACCCACAGAACGTTTCAACGGTAGAGGAACCTCTGGCCCCTGCCCCCTTAACTGCAACAGGCACTTTTGTCCCTGGAGAGGATGGAAGGTGAAGAAGGGCTGGTTACTTCCTAGGGACATAAGTACAGGAGAAGCAGACATGGTAGGAAGAGATACCCACTTGGGCATCTGAGCTCAGCACGGCACACAGTCCTAGAAGGGGGAGTTGTTTAGGCAGGTTTCTCTCAACTTTTTTTCAGTTTTGATTTTTGAGACAGGATCTCACTATGTAGCCTAAGCCATCTCCCTCTATTCCAAGTACTGGTGGTAATTTTAATTCAGTGGTGAGAAGCCCACACAGTGACCTAGAAGGGGGGGTGCCAAATACCCAGGATGCTCTTGGGGAAATGAGGGGGTACAATGGGTGGGGACTGGCTCCTCTCCTGACCGCTGGTAGTGACACCAGCTAACTACTTTCTCATAGCCACCCTGGCCATTTGGAGGTGGAGCAGCTGCCTTCCCACACTACTGGGCAAAGACTACTGTGGGAAGAGTACACCACCAGTCAAGCGTGCCAGCTAGGGCGCAGGGCCAGCTCTAGGACCACATGTCCCCAAGCTTTTGGCTGTCCCAAGCTTGCGGCTGTCCTTGATCCCTTCTGCACATGCGCCTGCACATGAGGTTTCCACTGTGCTGTCTCGCTGGGACTCAGGCCACTGGAAAGTCAGCCTCCCCATGCGTTCCACCCAATTCCAGAATCTGTCCTGAGCCTCTCTGAGCTCATAGTTTTAGGATTAACACATTCCTTACTGTGAGGAACCCAACCAGGCCTGAAAGACTTGATAATGAAAGAGGCCCAACCGTTTCTGAACAGACCTCTGGAGGCCAGGGTGGGGGGGCAGGTGCCAAGCTTTCCTGCTGTCAGGGCTTAGTAGCCCCTTCCTCCATCCGCTACTCACTTCTGTTTCTGGTCTTTTAGCAAAAGGTAAAGTTGCCCAAATACGGAGAAACAATAAGCTCTCCCTGTGGCTGATGGCTTTACTTGCCTTTCCTTCATGGGGTCTTTTCCGAAACCCAGGCCCTCACCCTCTTATCCCCAGGATAGCCACACCCCGGGCTCCCTGTGGTTGTCAACACGGTTGCATTACCAACAGTGAGGACACAGACCCTAGACCCTTTGTAAAGCCACTCTAACAGAGGAGGTAGGACAGAGGGCTGGAGTCAGACCCAGGTCCTCTGAGCAAGTGCCTCTCATTTAACAGTTACTCACTGCAGTCAGAGCTGAGTGAGGACCGGTGGTGACATCCTTGATTCACCCTGGCTCCCACAAAGGAGGGAAGTGCCTGGTCTGGCTGTGTACAGTGTCTGTGCCCGCTTCATGGTACTTGGAGCTGAGCAAGCACTGGGAAGAAATGCTTTAGGGTCTTGCTGGAAGAAGCTAACAGCCTGGCTACCTACCCTCAGCACTTTCCACCACCCAAATCCATTCTCATGAGGTGAAGTTCCAGCTGGACCCTCTCCTGGGGTCAGCTTCCCCTCCTATATCCCAGCCTGACTCCAGCACTTACCCTGGGATTTTCTGTCCACATTCTTGGCTTCTTGCAAGTGTAACTGCATCTCCCAGTTGAGGACTGGGGAGATCCCTGTGGGAGACTTTGAGGAGGGTGATGGGTGAATAGCGGTGATGGGCACAAAGAGTGGCTAGCTGGACAGAGGACAGGACACGTTTGAGAGTGTTCAAACCATTTACTAAGCAAATTCTTGCCCTCCCCACCCCACCCAAGCTGCGAGGAGGGAAGCCCCTCTAAGGCTCTGGTACCTCAGCGTCCCTCCCTCGCTGCCCCCACGTTGGGGGAGTGCTAGAATGAGACGAGGTCCAGGTGAAGTCCTTCGGTTCAGTGGCTCCTCTCCACTAACAAGGAAAATGCCCTTTCTGACACATCCCTCTGGCAGCCCAGGCTGCGGGCCGGGGGTTCTCCAGCTGCCCTCTCAGGTCAGCAGGAACTACTGGATATTAAGGCAGCATCTAGAACTCCCCAGGGTCTCAATAGGAACCGTCAGCTGCAATTCGGTGCCTGCTTCACCGATGAAATCCGAGAGCCCCACCCACGCCGCGGCCAACTGCGCATAGAAAAGGAGGCCGGACAGGTCCTCACAAGTGCCCGTAGTCTGTTCTGACGGTCAGAGGACCCTCTGTGGGCGCGGAAAAGTCTGGCCGGAACCCAGCCTGACTTGCCTCGGAGTCTCCGCTACGCAACTCGGCTGTGGTTGCCATCCACGTGCGGCTTCCCGCGTCGGTCCTTCCGATCACGGGCTTGGCTGCGGGAAGGACCCCGCCGTGCCTCCCGCCCTTAGACGTAGTTCTTCTTGTCGTATTCGCCGTTGGCCGTGGGCCGCCGCGGCGCCGAGTACTTGACCGGGAAGCTGAACTCCGGGCGGCCGGAGCAGACCCAGGCGCCGCAGCACACGAGGCCCCCGCCGCACATGAGCAGAGCCGAGGCCGCCCAGCCGATGTACAGCGCCGCGCCCAGCTCGTACTTCTGAGACACCGGCACCGCGGGATCGTAGAACTCGCGGACCACGATGTTGGCGAACCAGCAGAGCGGCACAAGTGCCAGCAGCCCGCACAACGCGTAAAGCGCTCCGCCGGTGAGCGCCACGCGTGCCTTCACTGGGCCCGCGGCCACGCAGGTGGTGCACTGCGCGCCGGTCAAGGTAACAAAGAGCGCCACCAGCGCCAGCAGCACAGAGCCCACCGTGAGCGCACGAGCTGCCTGCACCTCGGCACTCAGCGCCAACACAGACTCATACACCTTGCACTGCATGTGCCCCGTGCTCTGCACCACGCACGACATCCACAACCCCTTCCAAGTTGTCTGCGCCGTCACGATGTTGTGGTCCAGGAAGGCAGTCACTTGCCACATGGGCAGCCCACACGCCAGGATCAATCCCACCCAACCTACTAGGCACAGCACCAGACCCAGAATTTCCAACGCTGCGGACCCCATGGCTAAAGACCGAATGCTCGCCCGACGACCCTGGGGCCTCCCGGGTGAGCTCAGTGCTGCCTGGGCTGTGCGCTCAGCTAGTTCTGGTGCCTTGTCTCCGGTGCCTCCTGCAGTGGACCAGAAGGGAGGATCAACAACACCAACTCGGTTTTTCCTTGCCTGTTGGGGATTTCTTATTTGAAGGCCCCCCCCGGGGGGGCGGACTCTGCCCCCAGGGCGCAGCCCCCGAGCTAGGCCAGCCAATCCATGAGCAGACATTCGGTCTACAGCCAATCGCGGACCCCCTGGCAGTTACAGTTGAAGAAACCACAGCTCTCAGGACTAGTTCCGCTCGCCCCCACCGCTCCCAGCAGGGCAGCAGTCTGAGACCCCTAACAGTTTCTGTCCAACTCCAGGCTGACCTTGGAGGGTTCACAGGCACTCTGCGTGCCCTGTCTCTCCATTTTAGCTGCATGCCTACACCGACCAATTCCACTCGCTATATCCCGGGTTATTCCAACCCCTCCATGAGCCGGAGCTCCTGTGCAGAGGTGAAACAAACCTCCACACTGCTTGTCCCTCAGCACACCAAGCTGAGATGATCCGCAAGCCTGTGTTGGTCATGCCCTTGATTATAACTTCATCCGAGAATCTACCCAACCACCGCCTACACTCCTTCCCTAGAACCTCGAGCCTGGTACAAAGTGGACGCACAAAGGCCTGTGCTGTCTCTTCTGTGATGCTGCCTGCCTCCATCCCCTGAAGTCCAGTGTGTCAGGCAGCATCACTCAGTCCCCATTCTCCTCTAGCACATAGACTGTGATCCCAGCACAGCAGAGACACAGAGGGACATAAAGAGACTGTGCCTTGCCGTCGTACAAGCAGTTGTGGTGCTTTGCCACCCCAGCCCCCAGGCCACCCTCCGGAAGTCAACTTGGAGTTTCCTGGCCAGGAGGAAGAGCCCCATCCTCGCTGGAGGAGGGAGCCGCGGGATTTCCGGGCATTCTTCTGCACAATGGTCCAGCCATTTCTTGAAAGGTCCACTGGGTTGGACGCTCTGGGTCCCTGAGGCTCAGGTGGGGGCACCCGGCCCTACAGCCCAACTAGGGCACCATCCCCTTTCCAGCATTCGCCTTCCCATTCCCTTTGTTTCTTTCCAGATAGCCCTAGACTCCGGATGGGCTGGGTTTTTTTGTGGTTGTTGTGTTTGGAGTTTTGTTTTGTTGTTTTCCTATGCTCAAAAGAACTCAGGGCCTCCCTCTATAGAGAAAGGATGCCATTGTTGAGACCAGCCACAGACGTGGGGATTTTAGTAAATTTCTCCCTTCTGGGCCCCAGCTTCCTCCTGGAGATGGCTCTGAGTGAGAGGTCAATGGGGCAAGCCCAGTGCCTGCTTGGAAAGGTGCTTAGAACAAGGTGTCAGGCCTTGGGGCAGGGAGAACCTCATGTACAAACCCTTCCTGACCCAAACCAACTCTCCTGATAGGTAGAATAGCTCCTCCCAGCCACCATATATTTTCTGCTGCCCTCTACCTCTGTAAACCCTTCCCTGCCTTTCTGCAGACCCTCTCCCCTGCCCAGTGGGTATAAACTCCAAGGCTCACCCTCTCAGTCCTTCTCCCCTGCTCTAGGCCAGGGAAATGCATTTTGCCAGCTCCATCCCTTCAAGTTCTGTGCTATCTTCCTGGAGCAACTGCCTGAAGCCTCCTGCTTCAGGCAGTTGCTCCAGGAAGCTATAGGCAGCTCCTGCAAGTCCTTGCCTATAATCCTCTATGGCTCTCATTGCCCATTGACAAAGCTCTGGATCCTGGCTACAACCTAGACTTAGGTGACTGTGAGTGATTGGGACTGACCATGTGGCCAGGAGCATACACTCCACACATTGATCAGATCCACCTTCCTGTGGGTCTTAAACCGGTCTTCCTGCTGCTGCTGACTTGTCTGTCTGTCTGTCTTGCTATTCTGCAAGGTTGCACTGATGGACACATCTGAGGATACCTCTTTACATCCAGGCCCCAGAAGGTCCAAGCCAGGATAGATTTTGCCTGTTGACTTTCCTACCAGTGTCTGGAGTCTCAACACAGTGATTATTGCCATTCATTTGTCCCAGACAAGAAGCAGCTTACTGCTTTCAGCTAGTTGGGACTGCAAACCACAGGGCATGCTCCCCTCCTTCCTGCCTGCTCACTATTTTTGTACTATTCCCATCCTGACACCCAGGGTGGTCCCAGCAAGTTCACGTACCTTTGGTAACAGCCTCACAGTATCTCTAGGAGTTGGCAATGGAACCTCAGACTTCATATTCCCCAGCATGCAATGGGACCAGAACCACTCCAGAAAAGGGCAGCTAGGGTTCACATTGCTTCCTCAAGCCTCCTCCAAGATTGAAGGTGGTCCAAGCGACCCATCAAGACACAGAAAAGTACTTTACTTCCTTGGGAATTTGTTGTGCACTGGACACTCTCTCCGCCAGAGTACACAGCCCAGGACACTTAATAAACCACCAATGAAGCACCAGGTAGGAAGGGAAGCAGCAAGGCTCCCTGAAGAGGAGATATCTCAGCAGGATTCCAGGAAGAAGTTTCCAGGGAGCAGACAGAAATCCTGGTGTACATGTGCATTTGGGGCTAGGCAAGGTAGCTCTGGGGTAAAGCACTTGCTTAGCAAGTTCCATCACTAGCCAAATAAAATAAAACTAAATCAGTCGCCCTAGAGGTGGGACAAGGCTCCAAATGGATCTGATCCTGGAGTAGGTGGCGGTCAGTACGGCTAGAGTGCAGCAGGGAGCTGGAGCCAGGGACTATATGGGGACATGAATCCCAGTCTCTGGTAGGAGGTTGCCAGGCAGGCCACCTGCTCCGGCAGGCACAGCTATTGTTCTGCTTCCCCAGGGGAAGTGGCACAGGATCCCATTAATTGTGTGAGAGAAAGGCCTGAGTCTGCAGAAAAGCGAGGTTTATCTCCAGCAGCTGCTGCCTGACCCTGCCCTGAGGGGATCCGTTGACCTTCCATGGACAATCTATTTAGGGCTTGGATTTGGGAAGCTCTTAGCAAACAGGCTTTATTTCAAAGGGAATGAAAAGCCAGCCTTCCTTCTATCTTCCAGCTTCTGGTCCAGGATGCTTCCTCCTAGTTCAGCAGATGTTTACAGAACCATGAAATTCTTCTTGCCTGGAGCCATCTCTTGGTGGAAGCCCAGAGCCTGGGCTCTCACTGGCCCAAAGGCAGCATCTTGAGACCTCTCATGTCACTAGCCATTGGGCTGGGAACCCAGGGTGGTCTGGGTAGGAAGCATGGACCCCTGCAGTCCACTCTCAGTTGTTGGTATGGGTGTCTTCTGTGGCCTAGAGCAAACCTGGAGTTAAATTCACCCCTACTTTTTAAACTAGCTTGGCTTCTTGTGCCTCTTTTCCCCCATTCATAGCATCCCCCTGCCTCAGGTTTATAAACTTGTAGAAGTGGCTAATTATAGTCTGGATGTCCCTGGTGCTATTCCTGGGAGCCTCAGAGGGGCTTGAAGTCCACTCACTGGCTCAGTTGACCTTCACAGATCATTGAACCTCAGGCCCACGTGAGGGCCACCTGGCCATCATCAGGGGTCACTGTGTTTTCAGCATCTTTAGTGAGCAGGAGAGTTTTGTGAGGGTGGGAAGGGAGCTCCATGTGACAGCCCTGGGTCCTGTAGATTCATCATGCCTTCAAGGCCCAAACTGGATGCAGTCTCCATACAGTCCAGCCTGACCTCCCCCTAAGCCCCAGAGAGGTAGCAGTGATGCTCCAAGACCCAGACCAGCTTCCTCCACTCCCTCCACCTACTTCAACTCTCCAGCGTCTGGCACCTCCATGACCTCTATCCTTTGTCACACACACCGTCACACAACTTTATACCCTTGTCTATTTGAAATCACCGAGTCATCCTGGAGTCTCCTTTGTCACTAGGCATCAGATTGGGAACACTTCCCACTTTGTTAAAAATGCCCACATGATTAGGGTTGTTTGTGGTGTGCAGTGTGGTGTCTGTCCCCAACACTTGCAGGTGGAGTGTGAATGTGTCTACCTCTTCTGAAGCCCTGAGAGTCACACATGAGAATGGCCACAACCCCAAAGGGTGTGGAGATTACTGGAGCTCGAGTCCTGGCTCAGAGGGACATTGAACTAATTAATGTTAGCATGTCACTAGGGACTCATTCCCCAAATCCACAGATGCTCAGAGCTGGTGTATAAATGGTGTGATCTTTCAGTCTGCAGACATTCCCCTGCGTACTTTAAACCATCTCTAGGTTACTTTAGATACCTAAAAAACTGCAAATGATGTATGAATAGCTGGTGCACTACTTTGTTCAGAGAATCATAACCATACAGAAGTATTCAGCACAGATACAATTTTCTTCATATATATGTGAAAACATGTTATTTCACATATATAATATAAAACATATATACATACATATATGTATATATTTCATGTACCAATTTTTTTCTTGGTGGAAACAGAGTCTCACTATATAGACCTGGCTGTCCAGTAACTTGCTCTGTAGACCAGGCTGGCCTTCAGATCCACCTGCCTCTGCTTCCCCAATGCTGGGATTAAAGGTGTATGCCACCACACCTGGCTTCACATATTTCCATCCACAGTCGGCTGAGTCTGTGGTTGTAGACCCAGAGGGTTGACTGCGTTCAGCCAATTACTTGGCCATCCCTCCGGGCATCTTTTGATAAGTGATCATGGTTTTGTCTTTGACAAGCAGTCCACATTGAGCTACATCCCCAGCCCTGCACGTGATGTGTTTCTATTACAAACAACACTGTTGTCAGTGTCCTTGCTCGTAACTCTTTGTATTTAGGAGGTTAGATTGCTGATATTGTTATCTGAGGCCACCTTTTCACTGCCTGTGATCAGCATTAGACAACCCCAGTTTCAAAAGTTTATTAATTCACTGGATGTGGTGGTGCACACCTGTAATCCCAACACTCAGGCGACTGAGGCAGGAGGATTGCAAGTGAGAGGACAGCCTGGATTATATAGCGAGACCCTGTGTCAAACAAACAAAAAGACAGAAATCCGGCACAGTTTGCAGAGGATATGATTAGTGAACACACAGACATAAAACCAGGAGCCAACTCAAGTGCAACACTCAAGGAGCAACACCGGGGTGGGAGACAGCTGAGCCCCAGGCACCTCGGACAGAGGAATGGACGCGTAGTTAGCGTCTCTAAAAAAAAAATAGTCAAAGGAGAAGAAAAATATATGCTTGAAGAAACAGTAACTGAAAATTTGCAGATTTGTTGAACACTGTAAACCCCGTGGACTCGTGACTTTCCTGTCCGTGTGACCAGCTGCCTGACACTTGAGGGAGCAGAGTACATTTGGCTCATCCTTTCAGGGGATACAGCCCATCGTGATGGCGGAAGCATGGCTGCGGGGTGCATGGAAGCTGCTTCTAGGATGCGACCCTCAAGCCTGTCCCCAGGGACCCGCTTTCTCCAGCTAGGTGGCCCCATTTCCTAAAGGTTCCAAAACCTCCCCAAACAGCGCCACCAGCTGGGGGCCAGGTGTAACACATGAGCTTATCAGGTTCATTTAACAACACAACAGCCATACATGCAGGGACTTGCAGAAGTAGCGAGTACAAGAAACATGAAACATCACTAAAAGACATCATTACAGTCTGCTTAAAATAAGCATAAAAGAAGCGGGAAAATGTGGAACCCAATACTTTCATGCTAACCTAGCAAATAAATTTTAAAACACATCTTACTGCTAATCATCCCTGAATACAGAAAATGGACAATTGTGGGGATTTTTAAAATTTTTTACATTTATTTATTTTTATTTTATGTGTATGG